GATTCTTCACTTGCCCTTAATTGCCTGAGTCAGCACGAGTGACTCTGAGGGAGTCGCGGAACACAGATAGAGCTCTTGCTGTTAAACAAGGTGTGACTATCAGGTAAAGAGGCTTTTGTTTTGTTCTGTTTTTAAACAGCCCTTCATGTATATATTCAAGTGAGTGCTGACTCTTTTCCAAACAAATATTGGGAAATATGGTATGGTTAGTATGGGTGCTCATAGGGCAGGGGCAGTGGCGTATTTACTGCTAAAGTTCTCCTGGAACACCTGAGCTGTGGGATCCTCACCGCCAGAGGGGAGCTCAGGTAGCATTTGGGACCATGGTAACACGGTGGAAAATACACATTAAGTGACCCTACCCCTCAGCGAGAGAGTTTTACCCCACAACAGATAGATAGATAGATAGATAGATAGATAGATAGATAGATAGATAGATGCTTTTTCTGGAGGAAAAGATCCATCTCTTCTCTACCTTCCTTTATTCCATAAAAAATCTAGTTGAATGCCTGGTACACAAAAGATGTCTAATAAATATGTGTTGGATATTTGTCCTACCCTATCACAATACTTATATTCATTCTTCAGAAAATAAAATGTATAATCCATATTTTTTATTTAAATATGTCTTTTGAGCCTATTTTCTTTAATATTGATTTTTATTGATTTCAGAGAGGGAGAGAGAAATAGAAACATCAAGGATGAGAAAGGGTCTTTGATAGGCTGCCTCCTGCATGCCCCCTACTGGGGACCGAATCTGCTACCCAGGCATGTGCCCTGACTGGGAATCGAACCATGCCTTCCTGGTTCATAGGTAATTAATTGCTCAACCACTGAGCCACGCCAGCAGGGCAGAGCCTAATTTTTAAATCTTTCCTTCCCAGACACTGTTTCTCCTACTTATTTGTATGGCTAATAGCCAATAAAGGATCATTCAACAAACATTTATTGAGAAATGACTAAATGTCAAACACTGGCGGGGAATCTCCTGGATTTTTCTTAGGTTACACACAGAAAGAACCTCAGGGCCACATATGTTGAGCAGCCTCCCACGGAACACAGACTCTCTCATATAACCTCAGGAAAGAAATGGAGTTATAATAAGGACCCCTAGAACTGAAATTTGGTCATAGTCTCCCAGTTTTTTTCTCTCAGTGGTGCTTGTGTTTACCTTGCTCCATTCTCCTTCTCTTTCCTCTATAACCAGACTTCTCTGCTTACCCATCACTTAGTTGTTGCATGGTGGTACATTAGTCAGGAAAAGCTAGCTATGCTTCAGTAACAAACAAGCCCCACATGTCAGTGATCTGAAATAGCAAAGGTTTATAGCTCACTCTTGCTACATGTTCACCAAGGCTTAGCTGAGGGGACAGGGAATGTTCTGCTGGTTAAAACCACTTGGGAACCCAGAATGACAGAGCAGCAGTAATCTTAAAAATGAACATGGTGAGGTATATGCTAACTCTTTAAGTGTCCACCATAAGTCACTTCTGCTCACATTTCCTTGACCAAAACAAATCGAATGACCATAACTAACTTAATTGGGTGAGGGTATGTGTAAATCATAGAGATATGCAATCCTGTCAAGACCCAGCTTAGGCAGAAAGCCTAAATACTTTTAGTAGCCTTAACCATTCTCATACAGGCATCTCCAGCTCAAGAAACTGCAAAACCTTTCTGTTTCAGCAACCTCAGTGAATGATTCATACTTTCCACATTCTTTATTTCAAGCTGCAGTTCGAGAGTGTCCCGGTCCATCTTTGCCTGACAGGCCACACACTCACTAGCTGTCAGGTTAGCAGCTGGATCTGTCCTGGAGTCATGGCCAGTCAGCTGAGGAACAGGGATATATACCATAGCACGTGGCTGTCCAGCCCACCTCTCTTGATCCTATCTGGGGACTGAGACTGTTGTTTAAGCCATGCTTTGCTTGTCCTAGCCCTTGGTGTTAGGAAGGTCATGAGTGGTGCAGTTCTTGAAGCTGGGTTGGGTCTGGCTGGCTGTCAGGCTATTTATGGGGCAGAATCTCAACAGTGGTGAAATGGAAATGGTTGAGTCCAAGGACCTGCTGTGTTAACCCATTAGCCTAGGGATCGATGATGGTATACCACGGGATTTTACATTTTGGCTCTGTGCAACTTTATATCCACAGTTGGACGCCATAACTCTAAACATCGCCCTCGGTGAGAGGGGCAGGGAAGAGAATCTCACAATAAGACCTGAACGTCTGAACCCAGAATTCAAGCCCCTTCACCAAATGCCCCCTATATACCTCTCCAGCCTCATATCTCAGTTCACCCCCAAATAAACCTACTGCCCAACCACTGTCAAACATTCCCTTTTCTTTCCTTGGCTTGTACAATACCTCCTCTCTAACAAACTACTACCCTTACTCTAAAATCAGTTTTAAAACCACTACAAACAAAACAAAACAAAACAAAACAAAAAACACCGCTTTTCAGAGAAGTCTTTTTCTGTCTGCTCTGACTGGTCATTTCGATTTCTTCCTTCTCTGAATTCCTATACCCCTACTCATGAGGGACCCCTGGAGGGCATGGGTATGACTTATTCATTCAAGGATCCCAGAGCCTAGTGCCTGCCTGTGGAACAGGGATATATAATATACTGTGGTGGTATGTTCGTCAGTGCTCACCGATGGTGTGTTTGATGAATTGTCTGCAATGCCTGTTCATTTAAGGAAACTTTAACCCGTTCCTCTGCTATGTTAGACACAGTGAATGAAAGTCAATAATATATGGTCCCTCCAAGAGTTTCTCTAGTTCAGTTGTCTTATTTTATAGATGAGAAAACTGAAACCCAGAGAGGAGAAATGACTGGCCCTCTGCCACCCAAGCAGCCAGAATGTACTGAGCACTTTGCTATGTGCTAGACTAAGTGCTTTTCATTCTTTTACACATATTTTTTAATTGATTTCAGAGAGAGGAGAGATGAGAGAGAATCATTGATCGGCTGCCTCCTGCACGCCCCCTATTGGGGATTGAGCCTGCAACCGGAGCATGTGCCCTTGACTGGAATCGAACCCGGGACCTTTCAGTCTTCAGGCCCATGCTCTCACTAGCCACTGAGTCAAACCAGTTAGGGCTCTTTTCATTCTTTATTTCATTTTCAAACTTGTAACAACCCTAAAAGGGAAGAATTTTTACACCTACTTCCAGAAGAGAAAACGGAGGCTTAAAAAGGTTGTAACATGGCTAATGCAAGGAGGAGGCTAGGCCAGGTTTGGATCGCAGAGTCTAACTCCTGAGTCCCTAGTCTTACCTCCTGTGCTGAGCTCCGTGCTGGGGACCCAGCTCCCTGTGATCCACGCACCTGTATATTGCCGAGAGGCCTTGAACTTTGTCAGTGCTGCTGTGGCCGGGTTGACATATGGCGATTAAAAGGTGCTGGTGAGAGTCTGTGCCGTGCAGCCCGTAGGCACAGGGATCCGCTGTTCTGACCGTTAGGTCAGGGTATGTTTTCCCTCCTGGGCAGTTGGGTTAGTGGAGGAAACCTGATAAAATCCTGGAGAGGAACTTGATCTTTCTCTGAAGGACTTACAAGTTGTTTGGCCTGCCTAATCTGCTCAGATACCGTCCGGGGAATATTCTGTGTCCGTGTAGCACAGGCTGTGAATTATTCTATGGGAACTGTTAATGAGACCCTCGCCAACTCCGCCTCAGCCAGGCTCAGGCAGGGCTTTGGGGCAGCCCCCTTCCTTTCCCTCCCACCAAAAGCTCAGGAAAGAGCAGGCTTTCCCCATTGGGAGCTGGGGGCAGTGAGAGATGTCGGAAATCCTGCTGCCTCCACGCGGAGCTCACTGTACAGAGCTGGGCCTCAGAGCTGTGGCTGTGGATGCAATGACTTAGCTGGGTTAGCATTTATCCCACGTCTTGGCCACCTGGTGCCTGAGCGTCTAACATGGCAAGGGGCTGAATCCCTAAAACCACTGCAGAAAAAAAAATTATATATATATATATATATATATATATATATATATATATATAGAGAGAGAGAGAGAGAGAGAGAGAGAGAGAGAGAGAGAGAGAGAGAGAGAGAGAGAGAGAGTTCGCTCTGCAGGCACCTTGGAGATCCTTTGGATTTAAAGATGGGGAAACTGAGACTCGGAGGCTAATGCCTCCAGGTCACACAGCTGCAGGTGATAGAGACCCAAGTTCCTGAGTCTAAACTCCATGTTCTTTCATCTTCAGCTCCCACCCCCTTCCTTCCCTTTGCTGAAGCCAGGCACTGACACAGGGAGAACTAAGCCAAATGGGTCCTGGGCCCCTAAAGTGCTTGGCTAGCCCTCTCTGAGGGGAAGGGCGCGCAGAAGACAGATTCCGGGGCATTCTGACCCACCCCAGCTGAGAGTCTCCTGAGCGGCCAGGGTCTTGCTCTCAACTCGCTTTCTCTGCTCCAGGTTCGTTTCCCCGAGAAAGTGAGCGCCCGGGAGGACACCGGTCAAGCTGAGAGAGCTTGGGAGTGCAGGGCGCTCAGGCCTGGGTCGGCGGTTGCTGGGGACCCCCTGGGGCAGGGGGAAGAGACTGATGCTGAGCGCGCCGGGGTGCAGCGGCTGGGCGATGCACACCTGTCACCCGTCCTGCCCTCCGGGCTGCTGTGACTCTGGCGGGCGGCTGCGCTGGGGACCCTAATGGTGGGGCGCCGGCTCCCAGAGGAAGGGGCGCAGAGGGCGGAGGTGAGCGCCCCATCTCCGGCTCGGCCCCAGCGGAACCCCGACGCCCTCTCCCCGGGGTGCAGGCTTGGACACGGGGCGGCCGCCCGGGCGGCGCGGGGCCCCATATATAGTCATATCCACCGGCAGGCGGAGGCGGCGGGCGGCGGCGAATGGGCGCCGGCCCCGCGGGAGGAGCGGAGCGGGGCGGGCGCGGGGGGCGGAGGGAGGAGAGCCGAGCGGGGGCAGGAGGGAGCAGCTTTTCCAAAAAAGTATTGGCTGTCCGGAGGAATGCGGTCGTCCCCTCGGGAAAGTACATATCTGGAGGGAGCCGGCGGCCTCGCTCGCACTCCGGCTCGGCCGCCCCTCCGCGCTCGCCCCGCCGCTCCCGCCGCTCCCGCCGCCGCCGCCGCCCCCGGCCCCGCGCCGCCGCCGCCATGGACGCCATCAAGAAGAAGATGCAGATGCTGAAGCTCGACAAGGAGAACGCCTTGGACCGAGCAGAGCAGGCGGAGGCCGACAAGAAGGCGGCGGAGGACCGGAGCAAGCAGGTCTGCACCTCCTGCCCGCCCCGAGCGCGCCCGCCCGGGGTCCCGGAGCCCCTGGCCCCGGCCCGACACCCCCTCCCGGCCCCTCACCCCGAGGACCGGGGAGCCACCCCGTCCCTTCCCCCGGACGGCCGGGGCGCGCTCCTGAGAGGGGCGAGAGGCGAAGAGCGGGACTCGGGCTCCTTCTAACTTTCCATTCTCCGTTCTGAGGGGTTCCCTCTGTGGCTCTCGGAGCCCCCGGAGCCCCGCCAAGCCCTGGAGGCGCTCGGTTCTCTGAGTCGGGAGTCAGGTTTGGATCCGTGGGGGCAAGAAGGGGTGGAGCGCGGGCTTGAAGGGACCCGGGTTCAGCAAGTGTTAGAAGTTCTTCTGGGCATTTGGGAATAAACCCTTCACCTGGGACAGAACTGGGGCGGGGAGGGGGGGGGGTGGTGGAGTCATGGAGTTTATCCCTAAGAGCAAAGGTGGCACAGAGAGAATAGGACCCCAAGGCCAGGAGGATGGGGCTTCTCTGCACCCCGATCTGTGGGCTTGAGCCCGCGGGGCCAGGGCGGGAGTCTCGCCCTCTGGGGGAGGTGGGGTGTGGGTGAACCACGGTTCGCCTCTGGCTCCAGCGAGAGGAGGGGACCTGGGGACCCTGGAACCTAAACCCGGCGGCGCCCCGAGCCCGAGGGGCCCCAGCCAACCCGGCGCCCGTGTGTTGTGTGTGTGTGTGTGTGTGTGTGTGTGTCTAACACCCGGTCCGTGCCGGCCGCCCGCGCCCGCCGCTGCCCCGCAGCTGGAGGAGGACATCGCGGCCAAGGAGAAGCTGCTGCGGGCGTCGGAGGACGAGCGGGACCGGGTGCTGGAGGACCTGCACAAGGCGGAGGACAGCCTCCTGGCCGCCGACGAGACCGCCGCCAAGGTACTGGGGCGCGCGGCTCGGCGCACGAATGGCTAACTGTCTCTCTCTCTCTCTCTCCTTCCCTCCCTCCCTGTCTCTCCCTCTCTCTGTCCCACTGTCCCTGTCCTTCTGGTTCTGTGCACCCACACCCTCCTCCCCCTGCGGGATCACGCTGCCTGCCGCACCCCCCCACTCCCCGTCCCCCACGGCCAACTCCCAGCTGGAAGATGAGCTGGTGTCGCTACAAAAGAAGCTCAAGGGCACCGAAGATGAGCTGGACAAGTACTCCGAGGCTCTCAAAGATGCCCAGGAGAAGCTGGAGCTGGCGGAGAAGAAGGCCACCGATGTAAGTGCTTGCACACACTGCCTCCCTCACCTCCTGCCCGCCTGCTCGGGCCGCTCTGGAGACCCCAGGGCCCCAGAGAGACACCTGCACACAGCCCTGCCCTGGCCCGGAGCGCTGGATGCTGCCGCAGACCGCTACTGCACACGTTCTTCATATTTCATCCATTCCTCTCTCTTTTTCTCCTTCTGCGACCCCACTCCTGGGGGGGGGGGGGTGAGGAGCTGGGAGTTCACAGCAGCTGAAATTGGATGCTGGGAGGTGAAAATTGCCTCCCTGGTACCAGAAAAACTTTTAAGGTGTCCTCCTTACCAAGGTTTGTGCAAACGGAATGCCTAATTTCTCTCTTCCCTTTTGCCATCTCTGATGGGTGGGGAGACCTGGTGTCAGTGATTGTGTCTAGTCAGGGGACAGAGGCCTGTGCTCTAGATTAAAGGAATAGTTTGGGGCTACTTGTGCACAGAAGGCTGAGCTTGATGGTGGGGCACAGAGACTTCTGAGGCCTCCTTTCTTCGCAGGGAAGCCTTCATTCAGCCCTTAAGATCTGCCCGGGAAGATGATACTTGCTTGGGTCCACAGGCTGAGGGCACTAGATCCAAAAAGTAAGCTGGGGGTTATATATAGCTCAGTGCTTTATATGGTATAGTGAGCGAGCTGCCCCCTGCCCCTCCTGCTCACTCCACCCCCACCTGTCAGCCCTCTGACAACCACCACATAGTTTCAGGGGTGATGCAAACAGGCAGAAGCTCTATCAGCACTCTGCTCACTGCCCTCGGGAGGGATCTTTCCAGCCGAAGAGCTTGCCTCTTCTGCTACGTCAGTCAAGCCAAGCATTAGATTTCCAAAGGACTTCTTTTCACACCGTTGGATTCCGTTCTAGAAGCTAATTAAGCCTGGAGGCCCAATTAGGAAAGAATTCCTTGGGAACAATTCCAAGGATGTATGAGTACCAGGAAAGGCTATGCCCAGAAGTTATTCTACCCAGTGCAACTGGCAGAATATTTTGTCTGAGAGTAAAATGCAAGTTGCTGGAGGGTCTTGGGTCTTGAAATCAGGAAAGGCTTTTCGTGGTATGAAAGGCTTGAAATCTAATCTCCAAGTGTGTTTGTCCATGAGAAATCCAGACTTGGGACATTCAGAATCTGCCACAAAAAAAAAAATCTTTTTTTTCCAGTGAAAATCAAGGTTCCTGGGAAGGTGGGGGGGATTCAAGAAAGCACTGATTGAGCTAAAATATTTAAGTTACAAACTACCTGGCTTTAGAAAAAAGAGCCAAGGAACACATAACTCTGCCCACATTGAATAATGTAGATCAGATGTGTGCTCTCTATAAGGCTAAATGGAGGAGGTCTGTCTCCCCCAAATTCTCCAGCAGGACGTTTATTTAGCTTTTCAAAGGAGCCGCTGATAGATCAAGGAGAGATATTCCTTATAAGGTAAAGAATGCAGAGAATTTGAAAGTAGTCCAGTAAGTCAAAGAGAAGTGGAAAAAAAAAAAAAAGATACTCTAGTTCTTAAGGAGAAATAGATAATTATTGTGACTATGTAGAGCTATAGGTCTTTATTGAGGTTTGTTTAAGGGATCCTAGGAATGAGGTGGGCAGAAGTGGAAAAGAGGACATTTAAAGCCAGCTGGGGGGAAGAGGCGGGGCCAGCACTGGAGGGGCGGTTTTGGAACTCTGGATTCTTTTTTCTTTTTTTTTCCCCAACTGGAAAACTGTCCCTAATATGGTACACATTTTATTTATTTTTTTGTCAGTATATTTTGATCACCTTCCCCTTTAAGACATTTTAGGTTGTTGGGAACCTGTAGGGATGTGGAAGAAGTTTGTGGGGGGAAATGCTATATTTAGAGTGATTCCTAACTAGTAAAAAAAAATAATAATAATAATAATAATTGACTTGAGCAGGACAAGAGAGTTGTCACTAGAGAAAGGGGAGGTGGGCGAGAGGTCAGCTTCCTGAGGTAGTATTATTATATTACATCTGTGATAAGGACATTTCCCTGTCATTGTCTTGTACGTACATAGTTAAGAACTGTGGAACAGTCTTGCATTTTTTCTACTATTGCTAAAAACATTTTTTTTTTCTAATTTAACAACATACTTTACACATCCTATTCCAGAACTGGGCTCTTCCTAACTTAAAAGGTGGTCATTCCGGAGGCAGCATTCCCGATGGTTTTGGTTTGAATATTGTGTTGCCGTCCCACCTAAGTGAGGCTGAAGGGGATCTAGGGCTCCTTTTCCTCTCTGGCCCCCAACCTCGACCCCAATAACTGTATATACCTGAGATTTGCAAGTATGTGGGTCTTTATTCCCTGTCAGTCTTTGCTTTCTAAATCAGTGATTCTCAGCGTTCTCTAAACAGAATTGCCTAGGCCTTAGGGAGGTTTTAAAACCCCAAATCCAGGCTATACCCCAGGCCAATTAAATCAGAATTTCTGGGAGTGGAACCCCGGCATTAGTTTTGTTTTTTTTTAATACCCAGATGACTCCAATGTGCAACCAAGGCTGAGAACTGCCCTTACACTCTTGTATCATGACATCAGCCTGAACGGGAACTTACCTGAAACTGACTTCCTGAGGTGTTTGAAAAGCAGGACAATCAGTCACTTGTTGGCTGCTTACGGCAGTTACCCTGGCTCCTGGCTCCTGGCTCCCGGCTCCCGGAGGCTCTCAGCCATTCCCTCGCCCACCCTCAAAGCTGGAGCCCCAAAGTCTGCACTCCTTTAGGCATGGAGACCTAGCCTCCTGCCTGGCCAGATGAGCTGTGTGAAACAGAGCGAGAGGCTCCCCCTACAGGCTGTGAGGGCCCTTGCAGGGGTGGGGGAGATCTCACAGAGGCTGAGTCCATAGAAAACGACTCAAGACAGCTAAGGAGGTTTGTGAGGGCTATGGAGGAGGAGAGGGATGTCAAGTCTGTTTTCTTTTTCTTCATTATTCCCATTCTTAAACATATCAGGAACTGACTAGAAAGGCCTCCTTTGAGAAAGGTGAGGATTGAAAGCTGTGAGATTTAGCAGGCCTTTAAAAACACAGCCCAAGGGGCACATTGGCAGAGGGCAGTTCCCAGAGATACTGTCCACAGTGATTTTCACACAGCTCTTGCTAGAGGCTTGTTAGGGTTCGGCAGTCTTCCTTGGTGTGCCTTTTAAAGGCAGCCAGTCCAGCCCAGAACTGGTCAGATGCCAGATCTCAGAGGCTAATTTAAAACCAGTGGCAAAAGGAACCCTTTGAGAGGATTGTTTTTAGAGACAGGAAAGTGAGCTGCAGAGGGACTGGGGTAAACAGCTGGTTATGGGTCCCAGTCTAACCCCTAAAACAATGCCTGCCTATATATTAAGTAAAGCTATCGCCTGAGTTCTGAACTAATGTATGTACAAGATATTGTGCTAAGGGCTTTGCATTAATTGTCTCATAGCCCTGACATCAGCTCAATGAGGAAGTACTACTGTTAACCCCACTTTTATAGATGAAGCCCGGGAAAATCGAGTTTTTTGTCCCAGGTCACACAGAAAAGGAGAGAGCTAGGAATCAGATTCTAGAGACTGCATTTAACACAGGAGGTTTCCCATGAAACATGTTAGTGGTTTTCCCTTGGTGAGTTTTTGGAGAAGTAGGTATATTATGGTTTAAATCTTGTGTTCTGGGGTTCTTTACAAGGAGGAAGAGTCCCCTTGGAGTAAGGTGACCAGATCGTCCCGCTTTTGGCGAGACCGTCTCAATTTTTAACAATTTTTCCCGCTTCTTGGAAAGAATCGGGACTTTTTAAAAACGCCGCGAAACACATTGTTAAAAATCGGGACGTCTGGTCACCTTACCTTAGCGGCATCTTGAGGCCCCAAACCTTCTTTACAAGAGTCCCCTTAGGTATCTTGAGGCCCCAAACCCTTCGCTCAGCTCTCCCTCCCGGGCCTGGGAACTCGGGATGCGGAGCGGAGCGCTCTGGCCGCCAGCAGGCGGCACCATCGCCCTGAGCGGCCGGCCGGGCCCGTTGCCCGGGACTACGGGGAGCCACGGAGAGGCGCTGGGGATCCAAGCAAAACCCCTGGAGCGAGCGCTGGCCTCTCCCCTGCAGGGCCCCTCCAGCCCGCCAGGTGCTCCCGGCGCGCCCCCACGCCTGCCTCCCCGCCGCAGCGAGCATGCGCGGCGCCTCCCGCGGTTCGCAAAGTCCCGGGTCCGCGGCGCGCGCCCCGCCCCGCCCCGCCCCGCCCGCCCGCGCTTCGCCCGCGCTGCCCCGGAGACCGCGACTTCCGGGCTGGTCCGGGCCGCAGGGGGCGCCGCCGTCGCGCGGCGAGGCTGGGCGGGGTCCTCGGCCGGGCGTTCGGGAGCGCGGCAGCGGCCGGCCTCTCCCCCCACCGCAGCCCGCCCGCCGCCCCGCGCCATGGCGGGCAGCAGCTCGCTGGAGGCGGTGCGCAGGAAGATCCGCAGCCTGCAGGAGCAGGCGGACGCCGCCGAGGAGCGCGCGGGCAGCCTGCAGCGCGAGCTGGACTACGAGAGGAAGCTGAGGGAGACCGTAAGGGACCCACCCAGCACCCAGTCCCCCTCCCCTCCCAGCACCCAGTCCTCCCCAGCCCCGCAGGCGCCTCCTCGCGCGCCGCCGGGCCTCTGGAGCCCACCGGCCCCTTCCCCCGCGCCCCTGGGCGCACCGGGGCTGCGGGCGCCGGCTGGCTCTGCAGGGGCCCTGCGCGTGCCTCTCTGTCCTTCCCTTCCACGTCTCTGGTCTAAAGGAAAAGCTCTGAGGGGAAGCAGGAGTGGCGTGGAGAAGGTTCTGGGAGCAGCCCTTTCCCAGAAGGGGCTCCACAACTGGGGTGTTTGCGTTCTGTCCGGCTGTCTCCAGTCCCCCAGAATGTGCACTTTGTGCTGTAGACATTATTGACTCGAGGGTGGGGAGGAGAGAGAGATCCTTTCGGAAATCCCTTCCTTTGGAACGGGGCGTCTGCAGGTCCAGTAGGAGGCTCTGCCAAGCTCTGGGGCCCGGGGATGCTGAGCCCCACCATCCCCACGGACCCTTCGTTTTCTGGAAGCCCTTTCTCTGATGGTGGAGACATGGACGGCCCCCAGGTTCTGACTTGCTTCGTTTGCTGCCCGTGGAATGTCCCTTTCTTAACCATCGCTCCTTCCAAATGTGATTACACAGATAGATATTCCTTTGTTACGGAGGCTTGGAAGAAAGTTGGCTAAATGTGAACGATTCCTGGGTGTATCCTTGCCTGCTTCCCCTCCCCCATGTTGACTGGAATACCTTGTTTCCTTTCTGCTAAGGCAAGTGTATCCAGCAAACAGGAACAGGATTTCAGAGGTAGTTCAGGCATTTGCGACTTGTTGATTTTTTTTTTTTTTAATGTGTGTGTGCGCTTTAAATCAGGATATTCAAAACACCTTGGGGGTTTTATGACAAGTGGTAATATGGTGTCCAGCTGTGCTTAATTCTCAGCTGAGTACATTGTTATTGCTTAAGTATGCAGCTGGCTGCAGAAACTATTATGTATTTGCATAAAATACATAGAAGCAAACAGCTTCTCATAGGAAGGCCTAACTAGAGGAAATTTCAGATAAAATACAGACAGGAATCAAAATCAATAGGCAAGAAGTTTTCTTTAGAGGACAAGTCAGAAGTCTTTGAATTTGACTGGTTATAAAGTGATTCCAACTGCCTCTCTGACTGGCTAGCTGTCCTTGACCCATTAGAACTAATGCAATATGATGGATGAGAACAAAAACTCTGGATCCTGATTGAATCTTCACTACTTACTACCTATGAGACTTTGGGCAAATTAACTTCTCAGTCTCTCAGTTCTGAATATGGAGATAATATTCTGAAAATTACAGTGGTGATAGGCACAACAGAATAGAAGTTCTGTGTCAGCTGGTGTTAAAAGTGCACAGCTTATATGCCAGTTCCCTACCTATCAAAGGATCTTGGAAATAAAATGATCATCTTTTCCTAAAATGTATATTTTCATTGATTTCAGACAGGAAGGGAGATGGGGGGATAGGAAACATCAATGATGAGAGAGAATCGTTGATCAGCAGCTTCCTGCATGCTGGGCTTGAGCCTGCAACCCAGGCTTGTGCTCTGACTGGGAATTGAACCCTGACCGTTTGGGTCATTAGTCAGCACCCAACCACTGAGCAACACTGGCCAGACCAGCATATCTTAAAACAGTGGTCTCGAACCTTTTGGACCTCACAGACCACCAGTGGTCCAGGGACCAGCGATCGGCGGCCGCTGTCTTAAAACACTCCATTTAAATGCTTTTAATCAATTTGTTTTTCTTTTTGGAACGTGGAGAGCATACCTGGGCAGCTTGGAAAGAATGATTGGTGGGCTGATGTGGTGTTAATGGTGAAGCCAGTAGAAATCCCCTCACCCTGCTAAGAAAGGGACCATGCGGTCCTGTACAGGAGAGCCTTTTACTGACTCCTGGCCGAGTGATTGATATAAGACACAGAAGATAAATTGTAGGAAGGGCATGTTGTTACTCTTATGTCACCTTTTCTTTCGTGCTTTTTATAAGTGACCTTCCAGTGCCGGTTGTCTAAAGGTAATGCTTCCATCCTTTTCAAAGCTTTATGTTAAAAGTAGTTTTAAAAGCTTTAATTTTTTTTAAGTAATTTTTAACCCTTTGCACTCCGCTGTCCCCTCTCAGGGGACATCGGAATTCTAGCATATCACTCGGATGTCCCCTCTCAGGGGGGACATTGCAGTTAATTCGTGATTACGAGGAATTGAGTTAATTCAACGCACGTGTCCGCCGCAAAGTAGCGTGGAGTAGCTGGTAGCCAATGTCCAGAATGGTTCGGAGTGCAAAGGGTTAAAAACAGCCTTGGTATCTGGGTGATTGGACACAGAACGTTTTAAGACCGGCAACTTGAGGACTGGTTCAGGCCATTGAGAGAATTTCTGATTGAGAGTTGTTCTTCGCTTCTGAAACTGGAACTTCAAGATGGCCTAATGCAAGGTGGTTTCTTGTTAGTTGTCAGACACAACTGTGAGTTCGACTAGTAGTCTGCAGTTTACCTTGGCAGTGAAGTTAGGTTAAGGACAAAGCCAGAAGCCACTGCAAAAAAATAAATAAATAAATATTTGAAAAGTTGGCCCAAATCCAGACTCTCAACAGTTCAGAGAGGTTGTCGTTAATTGGCCCTATTATACTAGCACTTATCTTGGAAAAAATCAGCGGTTCCTTATTTCCTACTGTTTGCTTTTCCAAGGTGTGGAGGGCCTTTCAAATGGTTGGCATGAGGCTGCTTGGTTGGATGTAAGGGTGGACTTTAGGTGTTGTTACTCAAGAGGGTTGGTTTGTTTTTTTGTGGGGGATTTTTGTTTGTGTTTATGTCATTGTCAAAGGAAAAAATAGCCAGTCCTCCTCCTTTCTGGATAGTACCCAGCGAACAAGGAAACTTAAAATTGCAACTTGGAGATTATTAGTTTGTAACTTTATTAAATCATGGAAATAACCAGTTCACAATATTTCCAGCCCTTTCCCTGTAGAGTTGGCAAATATTTCTGAGGCCAAGACACTGAGGGTGTATTTTGTGCTCACATTGGCACCCCCAGGGAGGCAGTAGCTGGAATGTATACTCTCAATTTCTGCTTTCATACGTAGGCAAGGCACAGGCCCGACAATGCCCTGTTCACGGCCGTCCTCCCTCATTATACAAACATGCCTCATAAATTACAGGCCTTGGCACAGATAGAGGAGGTTGTGTTTATCTATTATCCATGGGAGTGCCCCTTCATGTCATCAGTGTTTTTCCCCCTTTCCTTACCATATAAGGGCAGAAGTTTAACTTGGCTGGAGTCGCTTGGTCTTACACAGCAAGTTGGGTGAAACCTTCTCTGTAAAACTACAGTTTGCATGAAGTAAAAGGGCCTGACCTTCGGTCATTGCTTGCTCCACTCGGGTTCAGGCAGGACTTTGGAAATATATTCCAGAGGATTCATTGTTAGGGTATTATAATAGTCTCCTATAGTTATTTAAGTAACAATTGCTGTTATTTTTAATTAGTTTAAGTTGTGTTGACTAAAACATCTGGATGCCCTAAAAAAAATATGGGCCTGGTAAAAGTTTTCTTTCAAATCTGATGTTGGAGTAATATTTTGCTATAGTGTGGCAGGCCCTTCAGTTCTGTGTACTATGTAGTATAATACCTTGTTGGGATGGAGGCGGGGGGGAGGGGGGGGGGCTGCTATGTTTTCTGTTTAGGTCGCTGATACCGTATAGGTCGCTGATACCGTATAGGTCGCTGATACCTTGGGAGGGGAGCACCAGGGAGGAGATAGGGCTGACCTTGCAACTAACTCGGAGGCACTTCACAAGGGTAGAGCTCCTCAAGGTTGTTCGACAGCAGATCTGCAGGAAGACAATCGGTCTCCTTTGCTACTGGAGCAGTCTCTCTTCCGAGTAGCTCATTACATGTGGGGATACAATAGCACTTTTGAAATAAAAGAAACCAGCATCCCAAACCGAAAGACTCCGCCAGCGGCATCAACACACAGGCCGTTGTTAGGAGCAGCTCACCCAGCACGCCAAGAGTGATTTCCATGCCTGGAAATAATTTGCATCTTGGGTCTTGACCCTTCCCAAAAGCCTTGTTATTTGTATCCGCTTTTTAAATGACCGGCGGCTGGCCATGTAGCTGTAGGCTTGTACTGGCAGAGTAAGTTTAGGTAGACTGCCCAGGTGCTGGGAAAGAGAGGAACCTTAGAAAGTGTCTAGCTCCGGATTTAGAAAATACAAACGGGAAATAAAAGCTAGGGGGCCTTTTGAACACAGAACGTAATTCTCCCCTCCCTCATAATAAAAAATGGGGGGGGGGGGGCAGTAAAGAGGTGAATTCTAGGGAAGCAAACAAGATTGTGATCAGACCAGCACGGTAGGGCCTGAGAACCAGTGGGAGTCTAGGTTTTCCCCAGGGCAAGTTTACTCAGAGGCAGGTGTACCCCCAGACACCGCTCTCGGGTCCAGGCTGTAAGCTGGGTACCTCGGTCCTGCTCTCAAACCTGTGGGGCAGCAGACAGGGGCTTCTGGGGTTGAGAGCAAGTGCTCAGTGTTTGAATGTCAGCCGTTACCTGTTAGCGTTACTGGAGGGGGTTTTCAGTTTTTATACTGCAGCTTATTTCAAAAAGGATTGAGAGGACTTGTTTAGTGGGTGGTGTTGAATACAGTAACCGTCCTCCTAATCCTGGTTAGTCTCTGTCACTCTCGGCCACTGGGCTGGGGAGTTGGGGTGGGCGTGGCTGTAGAGACCCTCCCCCTCTGGCTTAGGAAGAGGGAGGGAAGACTCCAGGGGCGAGAACCACCAGTTCCCGGGCTTCCGTGCGCTGTCCCAGGGGCCATGAGGAGAAGCCACAGAGCAGCGCACAGGAATCAGACACCTGGGATGTTAGTCCTGTCTCCCCCTGATGGCGGTGGGCCTGAGCACACTTCAGCATTCTGGGTAAGAGGTCCCACCCTCTTCCCATTTTCCTGTGAAGGGAGGGCTGGAGCAGGGGTTCCCATGGAACTGGCCAGCGTCTTGTAGGTGGTGGGGCGGAGAGGGTGGAGGAGTGGAGCAGGTTGCTTGTTTACAGTACACATTCTTGCCCTCCCCTCTGACCTGAATCAGAATCTCTAGGGATGTGGGCCGGGAATTTATATTTTTAATACACATCTCCATGTGGACGCTGACCCTCGGCCGAGTGTGGGAACTGCTAGATGACTAGCTAGCCCTCCCAGCTAAACAATCGCAGCCTCTGTTTTGCAGACCACCCGGAGGTCGGCACTCTGTGTGCACCAGTCCTGGCTCCTGGAACATATTCCCATTCCCAGGCATTGCCTTTGAGCCCTCTAAGAGGTCCTGTTGGCTGGTATTCCATAGGATACAACCCGTCACGTCAGGTGGAAGGTCCTACAAAATACTCCTGGCGAAAAGGAGTCAGGGACGTTTAGAAAACGGTGTCCAGAGCTAAAGGAAAGAAAGGTTGTGTGTGTTGTGAGAGGTAAGGAGGGGGTAGTAGAATAAGAGGAAAGAGGGACCTCTCAGGAGAGAGCTTGTGTGCAGAGGGGTGCTGTCTCTTACACACACCCCGATGCCCCAGCGGTGTGGGAAGCTGCCCTGGACTGGCCTGTCCCACACACAGAAGTTTGTGTCCCCAGATCCTAAACAGCCTCCTTCCTGTGAGGACAAAGTCCTGAGGGCTGGGGCGCAGATTGAACGCGAAGCAGGGAACTTGGTGAGGTGGCTACAAAAGGCAAACAAACAACAACAAAAATCATTTTTAAAATGTTCTTGACATTTATCTGGCCACACCACCTGTAACGAGGATACCTGCCTTTATATTAAAAATAGGGAAAGGAAGGGGGATACTTTGGAGTATATGATCTGTTCACTCTACTGAGGTTTTTTGTTTGATTGATTTTGCTCTTCACTTTGTTTTCCACTTTGAGAGTTGCTTACTTGTTTCCCCCGTTCATAAAAGAATTGAATTTTACTGGGCCTGGAAAATATAGAAAATGAAGAAAGCAGACCTGACCCAAAACTATACCCTTAGTGTCTACTTCTCCCTTTTTTTAATAATAGGGCCGAAGACTTAAACAAGACAGTTCCTTATATGTAAGGAATGTGTTACCCCTATCTCCCTTACCCCTCCTCCAAAAAAACCAACAGCCCCTGCAGGCAGACTTGGTGGGGCCCATTCCTCACTGCACACCTACAGTCTTCTTCTGTGGCCCAGCACAGTTGTAAACCATCCTCCTCAGATTCATTTCCTGTTTCCCACTGCTCCCTGCCTCCTCCAGCCAGTTTTTACTACATAGTTAATTTTTTACAAGATGAAAGTATATTTGAATGTTTTTATCGAGTCCTTCACCAAATGCCCTAATCACTTATCTTTCCCAGACAAAACTTGGCACAGTTGAGCAAAGAGCTGAATGTTCTTGTACTCCTTTGATTCAAGGCCATAACCACAGCCTCCTCCTAACTGTGTGTGCATTTCGGACTGTGTATGTCATGTGTTCATGAGCTAAGAAAGTTGCTTTTGTTTAAATTATCTTGGTCATACTCATTTTACTCAATGGACATTTGCTGAGCTCATACTCTGCAGAGAGAATCATGATTCCCTGTCCATAAGAAGCTAACAGCTGAGTAAAGAAGACTGGAATGTAGACAGGGAACTAGAATAGGTCCGTAAGTGTGTGTTGTAATTTTTAGAAAACGTTCCATGTATCTTGAAAACCCCATCACCCCATGATAAGCAGACATTCAAAATGGGTGAGGATGAAGAAATAGTACTTGATTAATAAATCCCATATCTCACTTGCATAATATTTATCTTTTGTGTTAATTCTCACCCAAGAACATTTTTTCCCATTGATTTTTAGAGAGCATGAAAGGGAGGGAGTAACATTGATGTGAGAGACACACGTTGATTGGTTGTCCCTACTGGGGCCAGGGATCAAATCTGCAACCCAGGTATGTGCCCTTGACTGAGAATCAAACCCAGGACTCTTCAGAGTACAGGCCAAATGTTCTAACCACTGAGAAATATTGGCCGGGGCTGTTTACACGCATAGTATTTAAACAGCTGCCAATACAAGTGTATGTAATGGACCATCATCAGTCTCCACAAGTGTTCTGAGGCTTTCACCAGTAGGTGATCATTGAATCCCCCAGAAAGAAACATCTTATTTCAGAGACAGATACAAGTAAAAACAGTATCTACTGCTTTTGACCTAAGGAATTTGAAATATTTCTTGTGGCAACCTTGACTTCTAAGAAATTCCAGGAGGTTGGGAATGGCTGAGGAGAGGTCATTGTCGGGGGAGGTGGGGGGGAAGCAACATGTAATACTTTAAACAAAGAATTCAAATTTTAAGGTGGGAGAGAGGGAAAGAGGGAGGAGAAGGAAGGGAGGAAGGGAAATTCTAGTAGGCTTATGTCGGAAACACTTGGGAAATTTGTCTTGGCCCCATTCCAGTGGCTAGTTACTCTGAAGGGATTTCCGAAAAGGGGCTTGGAGGAGGGTGCTGGATTTAGTAGTGTCTGTGTGGTAGGTATTTTAGAGCCTTTAACAGTCAGGGAAAGCCAGTGTGTGGAAATCTATGGAAGGAAGGAGCCAAGTGAGAAAGCATTTGCTAATGGTCCGTCTTCCCAATGAGAATGGAGTATATGGATGTGTATATACACAAACATGGACATTCCATATGTACATCAATGTAGGAACTTATCCAGGAGCTCCCAAGTGCACTTAGGAGTCGCTCACCACAAGGCCCTGGCTTCCTATCTGAGATCAGCATTTCAGTCTCAGCCACTTCCTGAAAGCAGTACCCTCACTTCCCCCAACTCTGAACGCCTTTTACTCTCTCTGCCTAGGCCGAAGCCGATGTTGCTTCTCTGAACAGACGCATCCAGCTGGTTGAGGAAGAGTTGGATCGAGCCCAAGAGCGTCTGGCAACAGCCTTGCAGAAACTGGAGGAGGCTGAGAAGGCAGCAGATGAGAGTGAGAGGTGAGGACGTCTCACCCAGCCCGGTTTTTAGCATTGGCCTTTGCTCCTGGTGGGCCAGGAGGGCTCCTCTGATCTTGGGGCTTAAGGATTTTGCAGTCTCTTGGTGGGATAATTTCCTCTTTTGATCCCAGGTGTGACTTGGTTGGTTTTGTTCATTTAACATTAGTGGTGAATTTGTTGGTTTTGTTTATTTAACATGGGTGCTTTCAGGTAAAGCACAGAGCGGCTTTCAACCCCAAGGTTACAAAGAAGAAAAAGACCCTCTTCCTGCCCTCATAGAGCTCACCATCCAACAAAGGAGATGACGTGTAAACAAGAAATTCTAGGGATGCTTAATGGTTCTTTCATTTCTGCTGGCCCCGGAGCAATGAGGCATTTTTAAAAAGATGACTGTTTTAGGCTTAAGTAAAAATGAGCTGTCAGTTGTCGGATAGTCCAACAAACAGAGGAAACACAGATAAAGCAGAAATATGTTTTGCAAAAGCAAATTGCTTTGGACTTAGCAATGCTAGTAAGACACCTACACATGTAAATACAACCAGATATTGTTTATTCTTCTTCTTCTTTTTTTTTTTTTTTCTTGCCCTGATTGGGAATCGAACCGATAACCTCCTAGTTCATAGCTCGACTCTCAACCACTGAACCATACCAGCCGGGCTACTTGTTTCTTCTGAGCCTGCTTGCTCCCACTGTAACCTGGCTCTACCCGACTTACGGCTCCAAGATCTACTAGCTTTGTGGTAGGAAAGGAAGACCGTGGCCACGTAGACCAGCAACGCCGTGTGTTTTGGAAGGCCTTGTCTCAGCTGTTGAAGTGAGTGCATTCACATTGCATAGGAACACTCCGAGAAAGACTCCCCGAGACCAGAGAGAGCTCTGCTGCCTGAGAGATGACACAGCGGTGTGGGGGCTCCGAACGCTGCAGATCGGGCTGGGGCCTGGGCAGGGGTACGCAGTCGGTCATTTTGTCCATTTCTTCGTCTTGGAAGTGATTTTCTGCTCCCTGCCACATGGATGACGAGTGATTTCAGACTATAGGATTAAAGGAGTTTTCAGCCCATAATTCACAGATGCTTATTGTTTCTTCTCCAACCAAGAGTTTTGGAATTCTTTAAGATGACTCACCGTCTGGAACAGTGTACACATACCCGTGGTTTTGTGGCTGACTTCTTCCTGAAGTACGCTTGCTATTGAACCTAAAAGGCGATGATCTGAATCTGACAATGTTGTTTAGACTTTGGAGAGAAAAGGAATGTTAGGATCTTGACTCCAGTCCCCTGGTTTTACAGATGAGAAAACTAGGGTTTAAAGACTGACCCACCTGCCCAGCGTCCCACAGCCACCTTCTGGCTGAGCCAAGACTCGAACTCGAGTCTCCTGAAACACATTGTATGGCTTCATCCGGAAATAGTGGCTTCTTTATCTCACTGTCTACTCAGATTCTGGTCTGTGAATCGCATGTTCACATGAATGGTTATTCTGTAAATCTGTAACATATTGTAAATCAGTTCACATTTTCCGAAACTTAACATCATGCCATAGGATCCAGACCCTCATGTCAGCGTAGAAGACGGTGTCAGTGCTGTCTGTCGACACCTCTGCTATGAAAGAGTTCCATTAAAAGGAAAACTCATTGTTTCTTATCTCAAGTGTTAGTTTGACCCATACGAAACCGCTGTTTATACAGGTCTGACATGGTCAAATATCAGCAATTTCAAATGGTTCGATCTGGTATTTACATTTGTGGCTGATGAGGTAGGAACAACTACCTTCTTTGTAGGAGGACGTGTATGAAGATAAATGTGCTTTTGTTCTAACTTTCGTCCATTTTCCAGCCGAAGCTTCCCACGAGGAAAGGGAAGAAATCCCATTATTTATGTAACAAGGAAAGCCTGTTGGTCTCTACTGTTGCCCTGCCTCCCCGTTTCACACAGGATCCTGACACGGTACCTTTCACTTCACATTAGATTCCTGGACAGTTTCACCAGTACAGGGAGCAGGAGGTTTCACTCGCAGTAAACAGAAGCATATATCTTTCTGCCTCAGCATTGGAAACTTTTGCTTCAGGGCTTGGAAAAGAAAAGTAGCTGTGTGCTGCTCTATTTTGGTCTGCTCGTCACACTAAGCCTCCCACGCCTCTGCAGTGCAGGGTGTGGGCTTGTGGAAGTCAACTCTAAATCTGGGGTCTTGTTGCTTGTCTTCCTTTTCAGAGGCATGAAAGTCATTGAAAGTCGAGCCCAAAAGGATGAGGAGAAAATGGAAATTCAGGAGATCCAACTGAAAGAGGCCAAGCACATTGCTGAAGATGCCGACCGCAAGTATGAAGAGGTCAGATCCTGGGGCCCAAAGCCTCTCGGACCCCCAGCAGTGGCCCAGGGTGGGGGACAGGAGCCGTGCACACACCCTGGCATTCTTCAGTGAAACTATCAACTCTGCTTCTTGGCGGAAATGGTGGTTTTGAGAAGCAGAATTCCTTTGTCTGCAGAACACGGTTCTTATTGGTTCCTGCAGTGGGGGTCCAGGCTTCATCATGAAGCCGATCAGTAGCACTGGGAAAGACCAGAGTTTCTCCCCCTGCCCTTCCCCTGCCCCCTAAAGACCAGGACAAAAGCTGTTGGCCAGGAGGAGGGAGCGTTGCCTCCTGTGTCTGTGGAAGGAGCCTCTCCTGCTGTCACCATGCACATAGTTCTTGGAGTGATTGCCCTGCATGGTCCCGTCCAGGCAGCCTAGAGACATGGACTGCGTACTCGCTGGGGTGATTGATCACAGAGGAAGTTTTCAGTCTGTCCTCTCTTCTCATGATGGCATAATTCCATTATCTGCACAGGTCCATGGTTAAGTCAGCGTCTGGTCATGTCCCCATGAATACCACTTCCTGTGATAACAGCAATATCACTGTTAGGGTTTCAATCAGCCCTTCACACACCGTGGCTGTCCTAACATAGCTCTGACTCTCCTTTTTTATTATTGTTAGGATTATTTCCAGATTACATTATGCCGGTTAATTTTGAAATGCTTCAGAAGATTCCTTCTCTCAGGTTCTCTCTTTCACTGAATACAGATTTGACTCCATCCGTCATCTCACCGGCTCAAGTCATGTCGGCTTCTCTTGCCGTTCTGTTGGCATTGTTAACCTCCCCCACACAAAGGAGATGATAGGTGCAGAGCTCCAAATGGATGCAGCCCTCAGGATTATTTTCAGTGTTTTCTTGGCAGTCCCTGCCTCTTTGGCATATAAATGCATCATTTCTCATCATGCTGCTATTTTTTTTTGAGATTATGAATTTCATAGTTCTCCCTTCTTCCACACTTTGGTTTGGCTGCTATGTAATTATACAGACTTCATCTGGGTCAGACTTAACATGAGACTGCCCGCCCGTTCATAATGAACCGTCCTGGTCTTACGGGGCAGAAGCCTCTGGTCTCCTCCCATTGGCTCTCCTGGGGGAGAGCAGCTTCTCTCCAGTCCACAGGAAAGGGGATCATCGTATTTGAAGACCCATTGCAAGGTCTTCTAGGGGCTGATGGATCCATCCCCCACTCCCCCCAATAACCCTTGACTCACGGCTCGCAAGCCCACGATGTGTGTGTGCATTGTGTTTGTCCCACCACAGGTGGCCCGTAAGCTGGTCATCATTGAGAGCGACCTGGAACGTGCAGAGGAGCGGGCTGAGCTCTCAGAAGGGTAAGCGGGCCCGGCGCCAGGACGCTGTGTGTGGGGTGCTGCAGAGCAGTGACTAAACAGCATGACCTTCTGGCAGCTGCACATTTACCTGTCTCAGCTCCGGGCTCCTCGCGTGCCCGTTTGACATGGATGAGCCACGAGTCCAGAACACGGAGGACTCGTGTGGGGTGTCTGTATGAATGTGTGTGTCACTGCATGCCTTACCTGCACACTGATTTTTGAGAATGGCCTTGTGCATTTCCTGTGTCCACTAACAGCCAAGTTCGACAGCTGGAAGAACAGTTAAGAATAATGGATCAGACCTTGAAAGCATTAATGGCTGCCGAGGATAAGGTACTGATGGCTCATGCGTGGTTTTTAGGTTTAACTCCAACCCAGACGTCTTTCAGCTTCCAGTACCTACTGGTTCGTTTGGTATAGCAGCTGCACCTTCACTACGCCCTCCGCTATCTTGTATCTCGCTTTAAGTGCTGTCTTTGGGTTCTTTGTACTCCTTTCCTTCATAAATGCTCTTTCGGTGCAGCCAAAAAAAAAAAGAAGCCAAATTATCACGCTTCACAGTCGCTGGATTTTGTCACCCTGCCTTTCAGCTTTTGCAAGGTTGGGGGGCAGTGGCCCTCATAAAGTTGAGTGTTTTACGGCCTGATGATTTGGCTACTTTAAGGCAGCCCTTTGTTCTCTGGGACTCGGTGTTCATTTTTTCCCATCCTTCTCCTTTTTCTCTCCTCCTCCCTCTGGCTTGTCTCCCACCCTTTCTGCCTCTGGTCGAAAACATTAGCAAATGTGCCGAGCTTGAAGAAGAGTTGAAAACTGTGACCAACAACTTGAAGTCACTGGAGGCTCAGGCTGAGAAGGTAGGCCCAGAGCATGGTGTGGGGGAAAAGGCACCTTTTCTGAGCTGCTCAAAAGACACCCCCTTTTTCTCTTTAGAGGCCCTGCCGATAAAAGCAATCGTCCTTTAGGCATTTTTTCGCAAATGCATTGTTTTGAGGTGATTTCCTGATGGTTATCGAATGGCAGGTTCTCTTTTTTTTTTTAATAGAGAATATATTTTATGTTGAGCATGTGAGTCCTCTGGAACCATTTAATCTAAACCCAGTGCCAAAGGGATGTTATCTTGTTCTTATCCCATGTAAAACAATAGGCAGGAGAACAGAGGCTGTATTGTACCGTGCCATTTGATCTCGGAGGCTCCATTACCGCCAGAGAGATCCTCAACATCTGTTCACTGGGCTGGCGCGCTTTTTGTATTAGAAGAGAGGAGGATAGGGTGAGCCCTGGCCTGACATCTGGAACGTTCTTTCTAATTACAGTACTCTCAGAAGGAAGACAAATACGAGGAGGAGATCAAGGTCCTTTCTGACAAGCTGAAGGAGGTAATTTATGACCGTCTGGGGCGAAGCCACCTGAGCTTTACAGGAGCTGGTTCTCACGGAGCAGGTCGGGGCCTTAGCGTTTTCACGTTGTGCTGCTCCACCTCAGGAGTGATCAGCAGTGGCCCCGGGGTTCCTGTGCTGTGCTGGCTGCCACCTCGCCCTGCGGTGGCTGGCTGGCTGGCGCGGAGTTTCCGGCTAGTCTATGGGTGCTGTGCTGGATTTCCATTTTCTAGTTCTTCCCTGTACTCCTCGCTCCTGGAACCATAAAACATTCCCGTTTTGACCGAAACAAATTGAATCATTACAGGCTGAGACTCGGGCTGAGTTTGCGGAGAGGTCAGTAACTAAGTTGGAGAAAAGCATTGATGACTTAGAAGGTAAGGCCTTCAGTTTTGTTTTTACTTGAACCCTTATTAAGGTTGAGTCTCGACCTGGCAAAAACGATTTTCTAGTCCAAGTGCATTCACCTTGACATGTATTCACCTTGACATATCTATTCACCTTGGCTCTTGCACCTTCCTCCTGTCTGTCCTTGGGGTTTCATTCTGTGGCTCTTAAACTCTCGGACCTGAATGATCTGCTCACCAGGTAGCTGAGCCACCCGACGGGGCACATCTGTTTGGTCACGGCAGGTGCTGTCCAGTTTTCCCTCACACTCCTCACTGGGGCAAGGTTATTTTTCATTGAGGGTCAGGTGGTGGTAGGTGAGAGCGACTCCAGTATATTTTCTGTTAATAGTGACAACCTCCTAAGTGTCAGATGGTATGGATTTGTTCTTAGACACAGCCCATCTTCTTCCAAGTATAAATTCGTTGTAAGGGTTTGGGTTTTTTGTCCTTAGTTAGCCTGGTACGGAAAGGAGTGGAGGGCAACAGGACGTTGTATTTTTAGATGACACTTTAGCATTCCTCCCCTAAGATATTTAGGTTTTTATGGTAGCACCCACTCTGTGTCACAGAAATCCTAAATGTTGAGCTCAGAGACTTGTGAAGGGTCAGCAATGAAGAAGAAAGAATTAAAAAAATTAAGACTAAAAAGGTTACTGGAGTTCAGGGTAGGTGATAACCACGCGAATAGAGAGGAGAGAGTGACAAAAAGTCTCAGTCCACCCTGTGCGGCAAAATACACAGCCATCATGGGCAGACGTGGCTCCCCGCGCTTGTCCGGTCTTCTGGGCCACTAATAGGGCGGCCTGAGTGGGAAGACCACGAGTGGTTCACAGGCACCAAAACTCCACATCCCAGTGGTCTGGTCTGGCCAGCAAACCATGGTTTGCAGGGGGAGCCAGATAAGGATAACAGACGAGGGTCACAAGCTGTTGTTCCAAAACACTGCCCTTGTACGTTTTTCCCCGTTTATAGTTGCAGTTGGCTGGCTGCTGCACTGTAATTAAAATACAGCTCTAGCAGAGAAAGACCTTCTATTACTCACCCAGGAGACATCCCTCGGTGGTTTTTATTTAGAGCTAAACGTGGTTTTCTGATAGACCTACCATATTTGTTAATGATTTTCATATCACGTCGTTCTTGTTTTATTTTCTAATGGGTTTTGTTCTCTTTGTTTTTTGTTTCAATTCGTTTAAAAACAAAACGCACGCCTCCTGCATTGGCCACCTGCTGCGGCACCACTTCCTTCATGCATTGCCCTTTCCTTGCTGCTGTGTCGGGATGGCGCCCGCGCCACCCTCACTCGCCTTCCATCTCTTGATCACTCTCCATGTCCTTGCACCTCTGCCTTCTACTTCCTGGTCATAGACGAGCTGTACGCTCAGAAACTGAAGTACAAAGCCATCAGCGAGGAGCTGGACCACGCTCTCAACGATATGACTTCCATGTAAATGTTCATCCGCCCTGCCTGCTCACATCCGTGCGCTCATGCTAATATGATAACCTCACCGCTGCTCCCTTCTGGGCCTCCAGAGTCTCCATCTTCACTCCTTCCTGCTTCCTCTTTCTGCATAACCTAGGATAGTCATTGGTTGTTTTGTTTATTTTTTACATTCTACTAATATAAAGGCCAAGTAGATTAAGTCTGCCTATACAAATCATTTTCCCTTTAGGATCCATTCATTTCTCAATCGCTAGACTGGATTGTCCCCACAATGCAGTGAACTGGACTGTTAATGTCTTGAGTGCTATCCTTTCAGGAAATTAAATTAGGCTCAAGTAAAATTAGAAAGCCATGCAGCTGTGCAGGAGCTTCCCAGAGAACTATCAAAAATGGTTTTCTGAGATCCAATTAAATATAATACCATTTTAAAAAAAGAAATATGAATTTAAGAACCCTAACGTGTCAGATTACAGAGGCTCTGAGGGAAAGCAAGCCGATCCAGTGCAGCTGTAAAATACCTTCTCTTTCTCACTGTTAAGAGTTGTTAGAGAAAGGAACCCTCTCCTGAGTAACCACGCGTTTAATTTTCTGTTTACATAAAAGGAATTAAAATACTCCCAATAAATACCGCAACTTGTGTCAAAGCAATGGGGCATACCCACAGCACAATGTGCGCTTGGGAGTCAGTGGCCCGCTTTCATACTCTGAGGTAGTGAGTGCTGGAGCAAGTAGTCTTGTTCTCACGAGAACCTTGAGCAGACATGACCAGTTTACACACTACTAACCAGACCTCCACGTTAAACTTAGCTCTGCTTCTGCATTCTAACACGGAGTGTTTCACAGAGGGTTCATTATTCCGTTGTAATAATCTGGCACTGAGTTCCGGATAAGCTGGAAATTCCATTTTCCAGGCCCCACCTTAACCCATGCAAAAAAAAAACACGGAAGAGTGGCATGGGCCTGCTGCCTCGCAGCTTAGAGAGTCTCCACATTACCCTTGGAGACATCACCTTGGACACTGGAGAACATGTCACCTTCTCTTCCCTCATTTGGAAAAGAGAGTGTGGGTCAGATCACCTGTCTCCGGGGTCTTTTCCATAAGACCATACGTGTGGTGATGCTGTGTAGGAAATTTGAAGCATCAAATATGATTCAATATCCTGAAAGATGGGTTTAGTTCAAAATTTGTTTCAAAATTCTGTTCATGGGTCTTCTTAAAGTGGACCCTGGCCTGACCCCGAGGGGCCCTGTGATGCCTCGGGTCCAGAGCCTGGCAGCGAGGACGGCCTCCCTCGGGTGCAGCTGGCAGCGGGTTTGCATGGCTGCTTCTCGCCTGTGCTCCGAGTGCTCCTCTCCTGTTGGTCTGGGTTTCCTTTTTGCCATTGTGCCACTTTTTTTTCTTTTTCTCTCACCTTTTCTCTTCATGCAGATAAGTCTCTTTGCCTCACTTCTCCCAAGACCCCTTCATCAAGCTGGGTGTTCCACCTCTCTGCGCTCTGCAGTGTGTCTCTCCTCCAGCTGACCCTGTTCTCTCTCTTAGCGTCCTGCCTTCGGGCCGGGCCCTCCCTGCGCTTCCTATTGTACAGAAGCTCTTCAGTTCAGTGTGAAATAAACACTGTGTAAGCTATTTCTGTTTGCTATTCTTTTTACTTCACATTTTAGTTTCAACACTGAATAAAACTGCAAATCTGCTTCACGCATGTGAGGGTTACTTTTTTGGCTGCTGCTTTTTTTTTTTTTTTTTTTTTTTTCCCATTCTGAACGTTATATATTAGTTTCAAGAGTTTCTGAGGCAGTAGTTTCTTATGGAACTTTCTAAAAATATGATTATGCCCAGCTGGAGTGGCTGAGTTGATTGAGTGTAATCCTGTGCACCAAAAGGTTGCCAATTCAATTCCCTGTCAGGACACATGCCTGGGTTTCTGGTTCAATCCCTGGTTGGGGCATATATGGAAGACAACCAACCCATGTTTCTCTTTCACTTCAACATTTCTCTCTCCCTTCCTGTCTCTAAGCATGTCCTCAGGTGAGGAAGTAATCTATCATGCCTGCGTCCCTCTCAGAGTTTTGGTTTCCGAAGGTTAGCGTGAGGTTCTGGGCATGTGTGTTTTTTAGGGATAACGATGGCCCTGGCATGGGGCCCAGGCTAGAACCTTTGCACAGGACCTCCTGGTTGGAATTGGAAGATGCGCCTTGAGCAGGGTCTTCGCTGCCAGAGGTTCAGTTGGGGGCGTGGAGCGTCCTCTGTGCCGATATTTACATGGCCCCGCCTCGAGGACATGCCTGACCAATGGAGGGCTCCTGGCGAAGGCTCATGGCCATCCCACATTGCTAGGCATTTACATGTTGGGAATGATGACAAAGAACTTGGATCAAGCTGTGTAAGGTGAGGTTATCCTTGATCCTCCATTTACAGCACAAAGAACAGTTAAAACTTTTTAAACCTTCATTTTGATCATGAAATGACATCTCAAATCTGATTATGTTCAAGTTGAGATTTATTTTTGTGCTCTAAAGCACATCTGTATTCTTTAGAAGAGGTTGTATTAATATATACATAATCTTTGCAGTAATAACTGGTTTGGGTCTTTATTTTTTATTTGTGGACACTTTTAAAGTATAGTCATTAATGTTACTTCTTCTCCCACCCATGCCCTCCCCCCGCCAAAAAAAGAAGTTAGTGGAAATTGTTCAGAACACAATTACTTTTTATTTGGGCTTCACTATTTGCTTCAAAAACAGCAATTAAGTGATTTTATTTTTTAATTACAACTCCACAATGATGTGGACTTCTGTTTTCTAATTTCCAACATTTCTCCCTCAATAGTCTAGCTGTATTTCTCATGTGTTTTACAAATATGGGTGACCTTCATCTGTTTGTAGTTTTTGTTCGACTGAGAGGTTTGATATACCACTATTTTATATATTTGGTATACTGAATTTATACTCAAATAAATTTGAACAAGCTGGAAATAATATCAGTTACTCTACAGAGACTTGAGAGCAGGTAATAAATACCCTAAGAGGGCCAGAACATGTTTGAGTAATGGTATAGTAGACTTTAAAAATTAGATTCCGGACAATTTCCCTCCCTTGAGAGTGTAAAGACTTCTGTAACTTTGTTTTTCTTTTTCTAAGGCTCCGTGGGCCTGCTTTTGACTTTGATTCCTGCCCTGTTTTTTTTGTTGATGTTGTTTTTTAAGTTCAGAGTAATAGAAGTGGGCTCCTCTATGAGTAACCCTGCTTCCTGCAGTAGATAAAAGGACAAGTCTGCAGGTTCTGCTGAGCGTGTGCTGAGTGCATTGTGGAGGCACATCTGTGGTTTCAAAACCCTGCCAGAGACTTGCACACTTCCTATACGTAGATTCTACATGGGGAGATGGGAAACTGATAAATTGGGAAGGCAAATCTGGAATAGCCCAAGTAGGTACAGTACATGAATGAGGAAACAGCAAGTTGATTTTATCAAGAAATTGTCAGAGCCCAGACTTCCAGTTCAGAGGGCCAGGCCCTCGCTCCAGCTGATACAGGAGCCTCAGTTGGACCAAACAAAAGCATGGCTGGGTCGACACCAGAAGCCCAAGTCCAAATATATAAGTGGTTCTGCTCCCTGCCCTCAGGCCACCGGGGCATACCAGCTCCAGGGCAGCTGAAAGGGGCAGGTCCCACGGGGGAGGTGGTAGGGACAGCTGTCACATAAACGGAGTTCACATTGATCCTCCGCATTCTCTAGGGTTTCTGCAGAGTCCTTCCATCCAGCTTGGCTGAGCACTGGCTCACAAACCGAGACATCCTGCCTGCCCTTGGCAGTAGTTCCCCATACGAGATGTGATGTACTAGTGTGGTTAGATTCTGAAGCCCCAAAACCTATGCCTTACACAAGACACTGGAAGGAAGTTACTTGGGATATGATAATGAGATGAACCAGAAATGTTCTTTGCCATCTTGTGGGAAGATAGATAAGCGAAGTGAGTCTGAACTAATAGATGGTATGTACAGTGAAACCTCGGTTCTCGAACTTGTCCCGGAAGGCTAATGGAGAAGCAATTTGTTAAAAAAAACTGAATCACTTTTTTTCCCATTAGAAATAACGTAAATGGAATTAATCCATTCCAAACCTCCAAGTGATTACTTGTTTTAACCTTTCTAATACATAGTACATGCCTATTGTACTGTTTTACCTACAAACACTTGTTAAATTTATCGAATCACCCCTACCAGCCTCAAAGGAATCACTTTCAGAAAATCAGCATGAGGCATCTTTGATTTTTCACAGATCTCTGCCTCTGATGCGCTGTTACCTGCAAGCTGCTTTTCCTTTATCCAAGTAACAGTTTCCTGTTTCTTCTGCTGCCTGTCATCCATTGTTTCTTTCACAACCTTAGCAACATTAGCACCCTTGATGGCCTCTTTATGTGAAATTGTGCCGATCCTATTTGGCCAGCAAAAAAAAAAGCATTCTCCCCTTTGTTGCCTGGGAGATGCTTTCTGTCATCATGAGGTGTCAGCAGGAAAGGGTTGTCAGGTTAGAAACCAAAGTTTGGTTCACAACAACTTGGTGGAGAACTGAATTGTTGGAGATGGGAGACGTTCGAGAACCAAGGTTTGACTGTAGTTGGGAGTCAGAGAGGAAGAGAGAACAATTCTGACTGGGAGCTGCCTGGACGAAGTGGCATTTGCCGGGGGTTTTGAATATTCAAAAAATTTGGGTGAGCAAAGAGGACAAGGCAAGATACACTTCCAGCTGGAAAGTGTCTCCGACCATTTATAAGAGAAAGTTAAAATAAGAATTGCTCAGTTTCCCCACATTTCCATTCTCCCCAGGGACAGGACTGCCAGCTTTTCGAGATCATGAAGTAGAATTTCTGGGTTCAGACTGTCACCATCATTTGAAACAATCGTGTGTCCTCCGGGTTCTTGTCATTGGGTGTCCCCTGGGTCCTCAGATGTAGGCTATCTCCAAGCGGCTTCCTTGCCTTGTGGAGCAGATGACAGGACAGCCTGTAAAATGTATATTATGCTGATCTCCATGTAGATGTTTGAGATTTGGTTCACCTTGTACACATCCATCTAGCTCCAAACAAATACTATGTTCGAGAAGTAAAGATAAGTTTTTAAGTCAGTTTTGAGTGGAGATAAGTTACGATCTTCAGCTGTTTGAGTAGGTTGGCACACACCCTGTATCAGAACTGGGCAAGAGTTCAGAATGTGCACCCTGTATCATAAGGGTTGGAGGACAGGGAGCTCAGTTCTGCATTTCAAAAAGCATTAATGCAGCGGTGGTAATGAAAGAAAAGCCAGCCCTCGGAGTGGAGATGGAAAGGCTAAGAAGTGAGCAGAAATAAGCAGGTGGGGGCCTCGCCAGAGATCTCCACTAAGCGCAACAAGGAGGGGCTGCCATGCTGGGCTGGCCTCCATCCCCCCCTGGGTTCCTCAGACTGTTGCCAGAAACTGGATTCAGCTCAGTTCACGTGGTGGTAGCGAGGTACAAGAGGAACCTTCATTCTCTCCTTACCCTGTTGCTCCCTTTCTTCCCACACCCCTCCGCCAAGAGAGAAATCCTGGCTCTAAGTCTGCCAGGCCTTTACCATCCACCTTCCTGGGCACAGGACCAGATGGCCATGGGGTAAGGGTAACCTGCCCAGCGAGTAACCCGTGCCGGAGGTAGTATCTCTGTTCTGTCTGTTAACTCCCTCTCTCCCACTCTAGCTAACCTCTCTTCTTCTGCCTCTTCTCTTCTGCTAACCTGCTTGCTGACCTGTCCAGATCAACTCTACCAACAACTTGAGCAAAACCGCCGCCTAACTAACCAACTAAAGCTGGCCCTGAATGAGGATTAAACTTAGTAAGTGGGCGAGAACTTGGGCTGAATTCTAGGAATGGAGCCCATGGTCAGGAATCTAAGACTGTTAACACCTTCACCTGTAGGGCTGCTTCTGCAGAAAGGAACATGGAAGGATTCAGCTGAAAGGCTGGTCTTGCCTGCATTTTCCTCTTATACCTGGAATATTTCAGTTCTCTTTAATCCTGAAATCGTTTTTATGGTAAAATGCAATCGTTATGTATATGAGTAAATATTTATAACAATCAATTTAGCACACCTCTTTGCAACAGGAGGTCCTCTTGTTTGAATTGATACATAATGAAGACCTCAAGAAAATTGTTTTCTATTTCCTGCAGAGAACAGAGTCCTACTTTAAGTTAGAAAACCAAAGCAGAGGGGTGTGCATGTGTATAACTATATACATATATATATTATATGTGGGGGTAATATATATATATAATATGTATATTCCTATTACATATTCATATTCCTAACTTCTAATATCTGGTATAGTGTTTGAAATATTATTCAATGTACCTATGCTTGGGCAAAATAGCTTTTGAAAGCAGGCGCTCATGTCAGAAGTCCCCGGTTGTCTGAAAGGTATGCTTTTATTCAGTCTAACGGTGTTGCTGGACTCGAGTGAGATTGTCATGTGATACTAAATAGAACTCTGTAAGAATAGTAAGAGAATGTCCTACTGAAGTGTGCATGAAACATGTTGATAACTTTTTTTAATGAGCAACCAAAATAAAACATTTCGAAAGTTGTCGGAAAACCTACTATGTCACCTCTATGTTCTGTGAGGTTGTGTTACAGCACAACTCCCAGACCTGTAACCGCCTGTAACTCAGACATGTCTGCTGTCGTTAACTCCGTGCTGCCAGCACCTCCCTGTTCCCACAGCGCCCGGCCCGGGGGCCGTCACCAGCCCCACCTGCGCGTTGTGCTCAGGGTGGAGTGCTGGTGGGGGTCCCCCTGCCGCTCGGCGAGAGCCTGCTGTGCCTGTAGTTCTTCTGGGTCACAGACGGCTCCCTCTCCGTAGGTCCTTGTCTAGAAATGAGGAATGTCTTACAAGCATGCCTAGTCCTAATCATCTCATCCTGTGTTTGTGATTGATGTTTGCCTGCCTAAATGTACAAACCACCATTGTGTCCAAAGCGCAGCTATTCATGACTTAATTTTCTAATCCCACCACAGAGAAAGTGGCTCATGCCAAAGAAGAAAACCTTAGTATGCATCAGATGCTGGATCAGACTTTACTGGAGTTAAACAACATGTGAAAACCTCCTTAGCTGCGACCACATTCATTCATGTTTTCGTTGTTGTTTTTTGTCTTATTTTGTGTTTTTGATTTTGTTTTGTTTTTAACACCATGCTTACCATGAAACCCCTTAAATACATTTTTATTTACTTTTACCACTGTCACAAAAACACAAGTATGGCTGCATCATGGGCTGGGGAAACACACACACACAAATACACAAAGGCAGGCATGTGACAGAGCGAGGGCGATTTCAATGTGCCATTTCCCAGGTTGACGTTGCCACATTCATGGGGTATGCTTAGTCAGTCTAGCAACCCTCACTGAAGCAGAAAGATTTCCACTCAGAGTGCCAACGACACAATCAGCAGGAAGATCGCTGTGGGAAACAATCAGGTGTGGATTGGTGCTACGTGAAACAAAAGGTCCCACTGTGGTCTTTTGTTCGATGTTGTACAATGTAGAATTCTATCCAACACTAATTTATTTTGCCTTGAGTTTTACTATGAGACGAGACTGTGGATTCTGTATGTCCGAATTCATTAAAGCCAGGAGTTTGTAAGCCACGCTGATCTTTCAGGACTTCTATTTCCTTCTAATCAGCACACTTGGATAGTAGGCAATGTGGGTTTCCACTCTTTCTGTGTCCTCATGTTAAAGTGGAAGTTTAGGCACTACATACAATTGATAAAGAAAAAAAACATTTCCTTACGAGTGCTAACCACAGTAGCTCCCTTCCCTTTATCCACGGGGATAATGGATCCCTGAGACCATAGATAGTACGGAACCCTGTATTCTGCGTGTGTTTTCCTGTACCTACATCCCTTTTCACTTGGGGAGCACTTTACAGCTTCTCTTTGACATGTCTGAATTGCCACTGTCTCTACTCTTGCACTTTGGGGCCATTATTAAGTAAAATAAGAGTCACTTACACACAAGCACTGTGATACTGAGACAGTCAATCTGTAACCAAAAGGGCAACTAAGTGCCCAGAGGGCGGGGGTCGTAGAGTGTGGAGATGCTGGACCAAGGGACGATGCATGTCCTGGGCGGGACAGAACGGAGCCACACAAGATTTCAACACGCTTCTCAGAGCGACGCGCAGTTTAAAACGTATGAATTGTTTATTTCTGAAATCTTTAATATTTTTCAACCATGGTTGACCTTCGTTAACTGAAATCGAGGACCATGAAACCGTGGATAAGGGGGGACTACTGTACATAAAGACATTGTATAATGATATGGAATAAAATGCACATTGTAGGACATTTTCTAAACCTGGTGGTCCTGTCGTTTGTATGTTTCTACTTAGTGAACTTTGGGTCACGTGATCAACCTACCTTCTCTCGTGTATGGTTTCTTAAAGCAAAACAACATACCAAAGTCCAGGGAAAACTGGGTATCATCCTTCCAAAAACATCTCTTTTGGTCTGTTCACGTGACCACAGGCTGAAAAGACCCTCCCCCGAAGCCTTTCTCCGTGTTGTTGGTGTTAATCTGCATACACATTGAAGCCTTTTGTCAAGTTACTGGTTTGGAGATTTCCCCTCAATTATCGGCTGAATCTTCAGCAGTGGCATACGCACGCATCAACAGACTGGGTTGAGCACCAAATCTCCGCACTCTACCAGCAGTGTGGTTCTACTAGGAAGTCTTGCTTTAAGAGCCTTTATGATTTTTTTGCTTTTCTAACAGTGAGTTCTAAATTCCAATATATCTTTATTTCCTCAGACTTGGAAACTGAAAATATCATAGGCTGTTTGACTTGAAGCAAACAAACAAGGTTACAGGCACTGCTAGTTGGCCAGACTGGTGCTGCAGGGAGCAGAGGGACATCCTCACGAGAAGCAAACATGGCAAACTAGAAAGAGCACGCGTTTGGATGCGTGGATAATAGTTTCACTGCAAAGTATTCAGTATCTCCATAGCTGCTCTTCCAAGCCCTTCCATCAGGTGTTTTCAAAAAAAAGTGTAAGGTGAATAAACGCTCTGAGTCTCAACCTTCCCACCTCTTCACCACCCAGCACTGTAGGCTCCCCCCTGCCAGTCCTCACTAGACACCTCTGCCTACCCTAGTCAGAGGCCTTTCCTAAACTCAGCACTCGCACTGTGGGAGCCAGACCCGGCTTCCTCTTTGCTAGCTGTTCCAGCTTGTCAAGTCCCTGGATCTGAGATTCTTCATCTGTGAAAGGGGAGATGAGTAGCTAGCTCTTTGGTGATTATTGTGGAGTTGGAAAGTATAGCCCATGCAGTAATGTGCACAGCACAGCCCCTGCGCCTGCTTGATGACCATTAACTGCTGCTCTCCTCAGCCTGCCATGTCGGTAGGCCTCCACAAACGGTATTTACTATTCCTACTTGGTGAAGCTGGGGCAATGCCAACTTTGCCCCAAATGACGATGGGTTTTTGTTGTTGTTCGAGTGGAAAGGAGAAGGACAGAGAGAGACATCGACTGGTTGTCTCTTGCACTCACCCAAGTACCGTATTTTTCAGACCATAAGACGCACTTTTTTTCCCCCCAGAAGTGAAGGGAAAAAGTCCCTGCGTCTTATGGTCCAAATATAGCCTACACATATACTTTAAAAAAAAAGATTTTTTACTTGCCCGGCTCTGTGTGGTCTCTGTGTGCTTGCCCGGCTCTAAAATGGTTCTAAATGCTGCTGTTTACAGGGTTGATTACATGTGTTTATGACTGTGATGTTGGGTTTTAATGCACATAAAATATTTTAGGACACTATTTGTTTCAGAATCTTTTTTTCTTCATTTCCCTTCTCTAAAAACTGGTGCGTCTTATGGTCCGGTGCGTCTTATGGTCCGAAAAATACGGTACGTGCCCTTGCCTGGAATCAAACACGGGATCCTTCAGTCCATGGGCTGATGCTCTGTCCACTGAACCAACCCAGCGAGGGCCAAATGGTGGTGGTTATTCATGCTGTCCTCAGATACCATGTGCCAGAACCTGTAGGGAGCACCTGGCAAGTGTTACTTCAGCTTCACATCTGTCCCCATTTTACTACCAAACAGGTTCGGGGAAGCTGAGGGAACCTGGGTTCCATAGCTCACACGTCGTAGGGTTGGGTTCCAAACCCAGAGCCGTGTGACAGCAAAGCCCCGGGGGGATCCTTCCTCTCCTGGTTTCAGATGCCTTACAGCAGAAGAAAAGCACCAACTAGACATAGAGGCAGACGAAGCAGCAGGGATAGTTAGGGGAGGAGGAAACAGTGACCACACGTGGGTGGTTGAACTTCCTCCCTGGGTCCCAGGGCTCAGATGAAATCGATTAATAAAACTTCATGCCATTTCAAAGAATTAGTACCTGATCTTCCTGATAAACAAAAGGGAGAACACCCTGTCTCCACATGACACACACCATGGGTCTGACCCAGTGAGATAAATGGAACACGCCGCTCTGGGAGGTCAGGGGGGAGAGATTAGGGCTCTTCGGCGTGGCAATGCCAAGGCTGGGAGCCACGTGGTCACCTTTAGAGAACCATGAAGTGCATAGAAGGAATTCGGGGTTCATACTCGAAATTCCTTTGCTGAAACCAGGCAGGTCCAGACTTCAGTGCGAACAGCTGGAAGGTGCCCTGTTGAGAGTAAAATACTGTGGAACTTTGCAGGGAAAAGCTTAGGGGAAGAACCTAAGCATCTTCTGAACATTTAAATTTGTGATGAGAGTTCTGCAATCTGTTAAGGATGAAAGAAAAGGGCTTTTGTGGATACAGTCTGAGATGCATGGAAGAGAACAGTTCCCCCACTTACTGATCCTAGAGGTGCCGGTAGCGTTCACTAGTACCGTGTTTCCCCGAAAATAAGACATCCTCCGAAAATAAGACCTAGCGCATGGAAAGATAAGACATCCCCTGAAAATAAGACCTAGCGCAACTTTGGGATAAAAAATTAATAAAGACACTGACTTATTTTGGGGGAAACAGGGTATGTATCCTCTAGGATTTAGTACATTTAGCTTGTCTTTTTTTCCTCCAGAAAACAGAAAAGTCTTTTTTTTTTTCTTGAACAAATATTTGAGTGTATGTTAACCATTTTTTTCTACTTGTCAACACGATTTGTAGATGTGACTTTTTTTTTCAACCTACAGTCAGTTGTACAGAAAAAAAATCTGAATTACCCAATTTAAAAAAAAAAAAGTGCTCAGGGAGCCATCATTTCCAGAATTGGAGATGGGGGTTGGAAAGAAATTAGCAATGTCGGGCAGTGCAAGAAGTGTTCTTTCCATTATGTGCACTTTTTGACACTGAGGGTTTTCAGAGCTCCATTCCTCCAGCAGAAATCATAAATTCTGTGTGTCAAACCGAGCATGCAGCTATGCTGAGGTTTCACTAATACGAATGCAACGTTTGCCAAGTTTTTGACAAACGGGTATTGACCTGGAGGGTGGAACTGGTTCCTCCTGCCTGTGAGTTTTATTTGCCAAGGCCGTGGGGAGCAGAGCGGAGTGCAGACCTTATCAGGGCCTGCCAGAGCTGATGCCTAACTGAAATGCCGATTCAGAGCGGGAAGAAGGCTTATGCTCATCGAGGCCTAGAGACGGTTAGCTGGTTAGCGGCTTGCTCAAGGTCATTCAGCTGATTGGGGCAACCCCCTGGAGTTCAGCTCTCCTGAGGGGTAGGCAACCCCTGTGGGGGTTGGCAAGCAGAGGGGCCAGCTTTGAATCCTGCCCCAGCACTCACTGTGTGCCCTCGGCTCATTTTACCATGTGAGCAGCAAGTTGTTTATCCTTAAAGGAGATGGATGGTTTGCCTCCTCACATGCTTGTGTGCTTCTTCGAAAGGCTGAGAACAAAACGAGGTGAGGTGATACTCGTCCTCCACTTCCTTTCTGCTCCTCCACCCTGAGCCTTCTTCCCACCCTGCATTGGGTCTTTAGGGAAATTGAAAATAACTTTTCCTCTTAAACATGAAAAATCCCCAGTACTATTCCCCCAGAGTGCACTCATTGCATTGCACAAATTCAAAATACGTTGGTCGCTCTGACCAGCTTGACTCAGTGGATAGAGCGTCGGCCTGCGGACTGAAGGGTCCCAGGTTCAATTCTGGCCGAGGGCATGTATCTTGGTTGCAGGCACATATCCAGTGGGAGAAGTGCAAGAGGCAGCTGATCGATGATTTTCTCTCATCGATGTTTCTGCCTCTCTATCCCTCTCTCTTCCTCTCTGTAAAAAATCAATAAAATATATTTTTAAAAGAAAAAAGACCTTTAAAAGAATTATTGCAGCACACCAGTGTGCCATGACACAGGGGCTGCAAATCACTGCTTTAATCTTTTCTTCTGCTCACTTCCTCTTAAACACAAAAAGGACTTTCGTATTGTCTTCTAGTCACTAGAAAATATATGGAAATTAGGATTACACATGGTTTGGCCCATGGGACTAAGAATTAAATTCTAGTTCCACTTAAGAAGCACATTATGACTGTGACTTTAGGTTGGGGGTTGTAGGACAATATAGAAAAAGCATAAAGTAGACTCCTTGCCCTTAGGAGACTTATAATCTAGAATCAGCAATACACACACATTAAAAAATAGCAGAACATGTATGATAGCATGGCAAGTTGAGAATCAATGGCACAGGAATACGTTGGGAACAGACAGTGTGCCCTCTTCCTGGAAGATTTTTAACCACCTGAAGTCAATGGAAACAGCTTTCTTGGGCATGCTGCATAATTTTCTCAGGAGTCTCCAGCCACAGGTCACTCTCAACTCACCCTTACCTGTCCAACCTTAGAAACAAGATCTCTGCTAGGTAGTTTCGTTTTGCTATTTACCCTAGCCCACCAAGCTTTTTGTTCTTTTTCTTTTTATGTTTTTATTTATTTATTTACTTATTTTTAGAGGAAAGGAGAAGGAGAGAAATAGAAATACCCATCTGTTACCTCCTGCACACCCTGCACTGGGGATGGAGTATGATGCCCGGCCATGTGCCCTGACTGGGAATCGAACCAGCAACCACTCGGTACATGGGATGACATTCAATCCACTGAGCCATTCCAGCTGAGCAAGCTTTTTGTTCTTTATTGTAGGTTTCTTCAGCTGGCCTTAATTTAAGATTTTTCCCCTCCTACCTCTCCCCACCCCTTGTTTTATGCTAGGGTGTCGAACTCAATCAGAGAAGGGGCCAAAATCTAAAATCCAGCCTAAATCGCGGGCCGAATGGTTTACTGAACAGTCATAAACTGTCATTGTGATGGAAACGCAGCGGAGTGCAGTGATGACAGCGCGGTGCGGACCACATTGCAAGGCCTGGCGGGACGGATTTGGCCCGCGGGCCTTGTGTTTGACACATGTGTTTTATGCCATTTCATTGGAGGGGTGGGGAGGAGATCTTCCTATATACTTTTGCTTTTATCCTAGAGCACCTGTCAATCTTCAGAAAAAAAGAGTAGAGTGTAATAAACAATTACATAGATGCTGAGAGACTATAAAATCTGCCTTCTACTCCCCCAGGGAGGTGGAGGAGCTGAGAGTCACCTCTACATGTCCACCCTGGGTAGGCTCCCCAGGATTCTTTCTTGTGGTCCTTCGAGAAGTGGCCTCATCGGCTGGGTCACCAGACTTCAGCCTCCCTAATGTTAGGAGCCCTGGGGATCTCCCGATAACCCCTTTTCCAGCCTTCCAGGAAAGATGAAAAGTGAGGTGGTGTGCCAGACAGAATCGGGTTTCACCACTGGGTAGATAGGAACAGCCAGGGCTGGCGAGGTCTTTTGCTTTTCTGGCTTTGGTTCCCACCCAGGAAAGATAAAGTATTACTGATAGATGTGGCACACTAAAATTTGGATTGAAAAAAGCTAACCTGGAGGATTCATTTCAGTTTGTATGACAGCAACAGAGATGTGTTAGGTAGTTAAAGGAATATGTAAATTTCATGCAGCAATTTGCAAGTTCAAATGAAAAGCTCTTTGCCACATTTGGATACAGTGTTCAAAGTAAAGAAACTGAAATGTACACATAAAGTACCAGCCACCATACCACCATATAGCTGAGTTTATGTCACAAAGCATTGTAAAAACAATAGAGGAAATCTATAAAGTAAAAGGTCACTGATAATCTCACCACAATTTAAAATATTTCCCATGGATTTTGCCTGTGTGCAGAGCTTCTTATTGTAACTTGATTTTTTTATTCAGAAACTTTTGCATAAGCCCTCCCTACGTTGCTAACTTAGTGGTATCATTGTATGATATTCCATCTGGTTACTGTCTCATAATTTTTTCTATTTTTGTTCATTTAGATCATTTCTGACTTGTGGCTTTCATAACAAGAACTGATGTGAATTCTCTGTAATTTGGATATGCTCTAACTCATAGGAAATGAAAGCATACATGTTTTCTAAAGAAGTTTTTTTTTTAATGTAGGCATACCATAATATAGGGTGGGGCAAAGTAGGTTTACAGTTGATCGTATGGAAAATAATACAAGAATTGATAAATAATAATACCAGAATAAACTCTGTGGTTTGCATACTCACCACTGTGCGCCTACTTTTGTCCCACTCTGCAAAGTGCTGAACTGTGTAGAGATTCCTGCTCCATCCTGCACCCGACAGCCCATTTGATTTCCAGGCTTCTGGTTCTTTAAAAAAGAAACAAAAAAGCTTTCTCCGAACTAGCTGAAACAGAGATCTTTAAGAAATCTCCCATGTTGTCTGTTCCTCCCTGCCCCCCTTCCTCCCACCAACAAAACACACAAACCTGAACTTCAAGACATGCTTGCCCAGCAGCCAGCCCCCCCTTTCCTGTACCTCCTGTCTAGACCCAGAGCTGACAAACGTGAATAATGGGTGTGTGGGCTCAGGCGTACTGCCCAGGGCCACTCTTGCCTGGGTTTTGAGAAGACCCTTCATTAGTGGTAATGAGCAGTGACCGAGGGAAGAAAAGATAAAACAAGCTTAAGCTGCTCGCCGGCTAGGAGAGTGGTTAAAACCCCAGGCTTTGCAATAGACCAGCATTGGAAAGCCGCCTCTGCCACTTACTGGCCGCCTGACTGTGCCTGAGCTACTTCCCTGCCTTCCCCCATCGGCCAGAGGAGGACGATGAAAACAGGACCTGTGTCCGGGGCATGACTGACAGTGCGTGGACGGTGTTCAGTGCCGGGTCTGACACAGCCAACTCTGGAGGACGGACAGCTTCTTCTGTTGTGCTATTACTTAAACACACCTGAGTCTTGGGTCCTTGAAATCTGCCCTTAGACCACTCCTCCCCAGGCTTCAAAGAAGAGGCTGCCCTTTGTTGCTTCCATCCTCACCTGTGAAGAGGCCGGAGGGGGCTGTCTCTGCTCCCTCAAAGCCACCTCTGATGTTGACGGCAGTAGGAGGGTTCAGGGCCCGGCACCCAGTCGGATCTCCCCCTGAAACCACCAGGAGGCGAGGCTCCATGGCCCATGGGGACTAAAAGCCGGTGTTGGTGTGCGGTGAGAACAGCCCCTCTCCAGCAGGGAGGGCCCTGAGGAGGCTCTGATGGATGGAGGGGATGCCCCACCATGGCCAGCTGTCTGGGCGCTGCCTCCTGGCGGCTTCCAGAGGAGAGTGCCAGCCCCTGGGTCTCCCCCAGGGCAGGTGGAGGTTTGGTTTCCTGGGGACTTCTCAATGACACTGTGAAAACCCAGCTCGCCTGCGTGGAGATCCTATTCTCAACACAGGACGGTTACCTCGGGCCCTGGGCGTTTTCTTCAGACAGTAACAATGTCCTCCTCCTCCTCGGGTGAAATCCTTAGCATCCGAGGTCCTGCTTCATGGTAGCCTCTTTGGGATGTGGCTCGCTCCTGCCTCTGAACCTTGGCCTTGAAACCTTGGCGGGGGGGGGGGGGGGGGGGGTTGTCGGCAGGAGGATGGAGGCCGGGAGGACGTTGTCCGTCAGAGCAGGTCCTGGATCCAGCGGGAGCCCAGCTGTGTAGCTGTGCCTTTTGTCCAGAGGGGTTGGGGTGTGGGGCCAGGCACAGGGGCCCAGCCAGCACTGGGAACAAAAGCCAGGCACCTGCTCTGTGCTTTTGGATCTAGTTGGTCAGGATATCCGACACCGGGGAACATCTTTCCTTTCACTCTATTGTCCTGAGGCTTCAATTACATTCTTGACTCGGAGCCCAGGGAGGGGATAGCAGACACTCCAGAAATCCTCAGAGCGGGGACTCCCTGGAGTTCTCGCCTCCCCCCTCCTCACCACCTGCCTCCCCCTGGTCTTCCGGGAAGAGGGTCTCACGGCCGCCTCCGCAGAGCTGGGTGAGCATCTCTCAGCCTCCGAGCTGGCACTGAGCTGGTCCCACGGGGCTGCGTACTGAGTGTATCAGCAAAAGCAGGGCGCCCAAGAGAATGGGGGGGGGGGGGGGGAGATAGAATTGAATGTTTTACATTTCCCAAAAAAGTGTTGAAGTCATCATTAGAAAAAAAGCTGAGTATCCTTGCTCTACTTCCGCTTATTTTATAGTGAACTTTTGAGTTTTATTTTGAGTTACAAATGTGTAGAGTGCCCTAAACAGACTGCAAAGCTCATCAATGCCATGGCCCATCTTGGGAGGGGCAGAGCCAGCCCTGAGCGCCCTGGAGTTGTGTAATTCCAGGAAAAACCTCTTTCCCAGGACCCTGCGGGTGTGAAGCTCAAGGCAGCAGCAATGGAGAGCAGTGGGTGGTTGGAAGAAAGTGTAGATTTGCACTTCCCACACATAAGTGGGCGCAGGGATCACCCGAGGGTCTTGTCAAAATCTGGTTCTGACTGTGGTGAGGGCTGAGGGGCAGGCTTGCAGTTCTGTAAGTCTTACCAGACCCCAGGAGTGCCAAGGCTGCTGGTCTGTGGGCCCCACGGAGTAGTGGGGCTCCCCCTCCAGGGTGTGTCTTGGTGTGTAACATGGGCACCACTCAGAGTCTGAAGCTGACATGTAGGCAGTAGAAAGAAACAGAAACCAGCCCAATTCAGCTCAGGAGTCACAGTCCAGAAAGGGAGCATGAGATGCCCACACCAGCCTGAGAGAGTTCAAGACAGTGAAAAAGAAGTAGTTCCTCACCAGGAAACAAGAGCATCTTGGGAAGATGACAAGAACACGAGCTATCCCAGACCCACAAATGCCCTCCTCAGCCCTCCCAGGACCACAGCAGGACTGGGGAGGCGCTAAGGACTAGAAGGAGGCAAGTAAATCACTGAGGTGCAAGATGTAAGGAGGTGCTCGCTCTCAAGGTCATGCAGCTGAATGCCTCCTTAATTTCTGCACCCGGGGGGCCCACTCACCTCACCCTAGACCCAGCCCTGCTTAGTCAGATACTAACCACACGTTGGTTTCTCTCTTTGAGATTCCATCTTGGACAGCCAGCTTGACCCTCTCTGTGCCTCTATTTTTCCCTCAAGAAAATAAGATTATTTTGAGAAACAAAGTCACTTACCATCAGTATCTTCAGAATGTATTCATCTAGGGACACCTGCCACCTAACACTCTGGGCCTGCCTTGTAGCAGGTGCTCAAAAACATTTTGTCCAATGAACTATTGGATCCTATTGGACCCTTCCTTATTTAGTAGTAGTTGCTCTTGTGAGAGGGCAGGGGCTCTTTTCATTCATCATCTCTGCTCTTGGTGTGTTCCTAGAAGAGAAAAGAAGTCAATAAAAGTGTAAGGAATTTGCCCTAACCAGTTTGGCTCAGTGGATAGAGCGTTGGCCTGCAGACTGAAGAGTTCCAGGTTCAATTCTGGTCAAAGGTATGTGCCTTGGTTGCGTGCACATCCCCAGTAGGTGGTGTGCAGGAGGCAGCTGATTGATGTTTCTCTCTCATTAATGTTTCTAACTCTCTATCCCTCTCCCTTGCTCTCTGTAAAAAATCAAATATATATATATATATATATATATATTTATTTATTTATTTATTTATTTTTTTAAGTGTAAGGAATTCAATGGAGTGAAACTCATCCCCCTGAAGGTAGAGTCAATAGTTGCTTACAAGGAGGCAATTAGGGACCTTCTTCAAAATATTACCCCCTTACTCTTCTTGGAACCCCTGCGTTGCTCACGCATTCCTTTGACCTTAGTTTTCCTTATCCACTTGTCTTATTTTAAAATGCCAGAGCCACAGGGAAAGGCCTGCATGAACCGGAAACAAAGCTTTGCCTTCATTTCGCTTTTGCCTTGGAAGTTTCCTGAACTGGGCACACCATCGCTTATGGGCCAAGTTGATCTGATTTGGGGCCTGATTTTGTACAACCTGAGAACTAGGAATGGTTTTTAAATTTTTTAGTGGTTAGGGGAAAATAAACTGAAAAGAAGAATAATTCCAGATACATATGTAAAAATTTGAAAAATTCCAATGTCATTGTTTATAAAAGTTTTATTGGAACACAGCTACATCCACTCACTTATGTGATGTCTTGTGGCTGCTTCTGTGTTGCAAAGACAGAGTTGAGTAGCTGAGACCGAGATTTATGGTGCACAGAGTCTAAAGTATTAACTCCCTGGCCTTTTACAGAAGAAGTGTGTTGACCCCTTCCTCTGAAGGGAGGCTGTTTGTCCTCATGCTTATCTCACATCTTGTTCCAGTGTGTGTTTTTTTTTTAATTAATCTAATTTTAGTGAGGATGTAACACTTGCTGTTGGATAGCTATGTGTAAATAGAAATTTTATAAATAAAATAATAGTTTAAACATTTTTGTATTTATACTTAAAATAATTCTTTAGTTTTTGAAAAATGCAAACGTCTTCTTTCTGGATTGGGAGAGGTCAAGTCTATCTGAAGCAGGCACTGTGTTACCCCCGAGTCCCTTTCTCTGTGCCTTGTCTTTTCACTGCTCATCAGTGCTTGGAGCTCAGCGGTTGGCACGGGTGCTCTCCATCCCAGTCTCGGTCTCAGCGCCCACCCTGGAGGCAGATCGTTCGCGTTATGATCCAAGCCAGAGAGACACTCTCCCCAGGGGTGGGAAGGGAAGTGATTTACTCTGGGTGCTCCCCACACTATGGCTGGGAAGTTATCTAACGGCATCATTATCTGAGTGGTTTCCATCCTGCAAGGAGGATGGGGTGGGAACACACAGGATAGGAATTCCAGAATTGCTCTCTCTTCCAATGTTCCCTCCCCACTCTCAAGTGTTTGTGTGAGTGTGGGACGGTCCTTTTGGCCCCCATCCAGGCCCCATGTGGACTCTCCTGTGTTTGCAGCGGGTCAGCTTCAGGGAAAGGAACGTGGGCTGCATTGGCAGCGCAGGGATTTTCAGGTTGGATGCGGGAAAGTCGGTAAGGTCTGATCTTGGTCTGAAAGTTGTGACCTCGCCTGGCTTTTTGGAATTCGAGAGTCTCCAGGATTTGCAAAGAATTTGTTGGTCTCGCCAGTGTGAGCTGTGAAGGTCCATTTTCCCTGTCATCTTAGAGTACCATCGAAGGGCACACCAGGAGCAGCACAGGAGCCTTCCAGCCGCTCTTTGGATTGCTGATGCCCTACTTCAAAGTCAGCTTCAGCCCTAGCCGGTTTGGCTCAGTGGAGAAAGTGTTGGCCAAGAGACTGAAAGGTCCTGGGTGTGATTCCTGATCAAGGGCATATTATACCTTGGTTGCGGGCACATCCCCAATAGGGAGTGTGCAGGAGGCAGCTGATCGATGTTTCTCTCTCATCAATGTTTCTAACTCTCTATCCCTCTCCCTTCTTCTCTGTAAAAAATCAAATATATATATATATATATATATATATATATATATATATATATTTATTTTTTTTTTAAGTCAACTTCACTTTCAGGACATGAGCCTAGGGGAGTTAATGCAAGGCAGCAGCCTTCCACTATGCCTGCCCTGGTGAGGTTTTCCATGTCCTTGTGTTCATAGTGTAGTGTGGTGTATATCATGCAATACCCTTCAACAAAGACTCCCCAATCTTTTCCCAATGTGAACAAACATTGCTTTTGCCCAGAATCATGAAATCAAAGTATGACCACATTCAAAACATTTCTGACAGCAGATGTGTGGGTTGTCTACACATCAAGAAATGCTCTGATGCCAGCTGTGTGTCCTACAATTCAATTCTGTTTTGACACTGCTTACCTGGAGTTAGCATCCAGCCCCACAGGTTAAGGGCTCAGTCCCACAAGACCACCCCCACCTCAGGCACCTGCACTTCTGACTGACCAACTCCCATGACCCCCTCCTTGGGTTCAATCATTTGCTCAAATGGCTCACGGCACTCAGGAAACGGTGTTTACCAATAATTACAAAGTAGATGATAAAGCAGGAGCTTCTTGCCGTGCTGTTGGTGCCACGCTCCCAGCATGTAGATGTGGCTTCCTAAACTCCATACTATTGGGATTCTTATGGAGGCTTTCTGTGGACATGGTTGATGATTCACTTCATTTTCAGCCCCTGCCTTCTCCAGAGAATGGGAGCAGGACCTGAAAGTTCCAAGATTCTGACCAAGGCGTGGTCTTTCTGGGGACTAGTCCCCAACCAGGATTCAAGAGTCAAAATACACTCCTATGACTCAGGAAATCAGAAAGGCCTTGGGTCTACTAGTATGTCAGAAACTGAAGTTAGACTAGATTTTAAAACAAAAGATTCCCCTACCATCCCTACTTAAAGGGTTTTAAGAGATCTGTATCAGAAACCACGGATAGACAGACAGACAGACAGACAGATAGAGATGGAGATCGGTGTTATTTCACAAAGGAAGACCTAATTTTATGGAAATGGAACCGAAGACCAGATTGTCTAAACAAGTTGCCCAAATCCTGCAGCTAAGGGACAACAGGGTTCACCTTGGGACCCAGGGTCCCTGACCCAGTATCATAGCTCTTCCCATCACACCACACTGTCTTCCCAGGGCTGGTGGAGGCCAGGCAACAAGTAGAACCAGAAAGGCAGATTATTGGTAGGTGGGGCGAGTCATTAAAAGGAAGACAGAACTACTCCGTGCCAGACAGAGGAAGTACCAAGGACTGCGCAACCCCATCTTTGGTACAAGCTATCGCTATTTCTTTATATTACAAGAGTATGTGCTCTAGACGCTGCTTTCAGACCTAAGCTCCCACGGGTTCTCAGAGGACTGGGCAGTTGGACCCAAACCATGCTGACCCTGATGACAGAATCAGCCTTCTCACTAGTTCACCTGGCTCACCTGGTGGGAGAGGTGATGGCGTATAGTCCAGGCGGCACTAGCTCTCTATCCCCCTGGTAACACCGTCCCATTAAGTGTTCCCTCTCGTGCCAAGTTCAGTCTGGAGACCCCTGCCTGCCTGGACTGCATTATAACTGATGTGGACTCTGATTACTCTTGCCTTTGTGAACCCTCTTCTTCCACAAAAAAATTAAAATTACATTTTAAATCTGTATTTGTATGAAGACTAATATGTAACTATTCTGTTAAAAAAAAAAACTCTCATCTACCTATAAGGTATTTTTTCTTCTGATTTTGAAAGAAGTTAAGCCATTTTTGTGGGTGTCTGAAAGCATATGGGCCCTGGGCATCGTGCCTCCTGTGCCTGATGGAGCAGTTGGCCCTGATGCCCATTCTGCACCCTCTGCTCCGTCCCTCCCACCAAGGGCCTGTTTGCCTGTACCCGGTATTTGCTGAAGGAAAGTCACAGAGCAGTGTATTTCTTCCCTGAAGACAGCCAAGTAGTAAAGACAGCTGCAGGGGAGAAGAGTGGGGAGATCCTGAGAAAGGCCAGGAGCCTGAGTCTCAGGTGGGACATTCCCACTTGACTCCTCAGTTGTCTAGGGAGATATAACTCTGCCTCTCAAGGGTATATTGAAGGTCAAAGACGCCAGAGGCAGGACAAGGAGCAGAAGTGAAGTTTCAATGAACTAGAATTGCCACTGATCTTATTACATGCTAACAAAGACAACAAGCCAAAGGCCAGCCAAAGCCTTGACCTGAAGGGTGGGGAGGGCCCCATGCTGGGATGTGTCCTGCAGGGGCACCTGCCCGGTGCTCTCAGGGAATTAGTGCATCAGATAATGCTGTAGATCAGTGTTTCCCAAAAGTGTGGTATGGGTACCCCCAGGGGTACGCGTTGCACAGGAGTTTGGTGTGGATATCCACTGCACCGTGCTTAGCTGCGCCTAATTCTACATTCTCATGAGTACTAGGGGTACTCAGCAATACAAAAATTATAGAAGGGGTACACATATGTCAAAAGTTTGGGAAACATTGGGTGGAAACCATTTCAGGGTGTGGGGAGTGTGGGCATTCCTGGCCTGTCTGATCTTTGAGGGAGAAGGAGCCAGAAAAGGGAAGGGTCACTGGGCACAGGCTCCCCGGAGATCAGGTGGCCACGTGCTGGCACAGTTAGTGTGGAGGACATGGGGGGAGTGAAGGCAGGTGCTGGGTGGAGAAGGGTGGAGGCAACCAGATGGCAAAGGACTGTGAGGTGATGAGTGACCTCTGTCCATGGCCCTCAGCTTGTGTCCAGTTTCCAGCGCGCCCAGTGCGGTTGGATATTTTGTAGGAGCCGGTGAAAGCGCTGAGCTTGGGACTGTGTTGGCACCGGCTGAAACCAAAACATGAGCACCTGTGCAGGAGCAAGGAGTCAGCAGGACACTG